CCTACACATATATAGCATGCATATACTTTGACAATACCTACTCTACAATAACTGTAGGATTACGTGGGAGGCTACGGGGTTGTACAGGGTGACCGGAGCATTGTTTGCGTTCTCACTATTTGCTGTGTTTGCAAGTGAAGTTGGCAAAAGTTCCACCAAGAAAACAACACTGACCACAATGGTATGACAAAGTTGATATAACAAGAATTAAACATACCTATCAACCCAGCAACTTGGCCTCTGGCACGACACAAAGCCAGCTTGCCAAAGCCGCAAGATGGCGGCGTGCCAACGCAGCTGGAAGGCGGCTTGCCAGCACTACAGGATGGCAGCCTGCCCGCGTTGCACCCAGGGCGGCTGAGTCAACGCCAACCGTTGTAGGTCGGCGTCTGTAGGCCGGCGCCATTTCGACAATCACCTTCGTCAACCTTCAAGGCTCAAGGCCGTCCGCCGACCTCACCTCGTCGACTAACGTCTCGTTGGCTTCGCTGAAGCTGGCTGCACCGAAGTCGGCTTCGTTGTCGTCCATTGCATGATTATTTCAACCATTTTTGCAGCTTTTAGACACTCGTAAACTGTTTGACAAACGTGAATGAGGCCCAGGTCGTCTTCAAACGTTATGTTTTTGTAGTGTATAAGCAAACTGACAAATATTTTAAAACGCAAATAAACGCGTCTGTTTTACATTTCGAACGGAACACCTATTAAAGGAGGGTCCAGCAGCGCAGTGACTCAGTGGTCCCAATCAGCAGCCAGCCAATGCCCAGCGGAAACGCAACCAAACCAGCATGACTCAGCGTGTGCACACACGTAAGCACAGCCATACCCAGCCCAGGCAGGCAGAACAAGAGCGTGTGACCCACAAGCACGTCATCCGCCTGACGCAGGATGAATGCACAATGTTCTGCCCGAACTGTTGCCAGCAAACCCTCCTTGCTCTAAGGGCGTGTCATGGGGAGGGAAGCTTACTGCTCATGAATCCCTGTTAAGGCTGGTATGTAGCGGTTCAGAGCGGTGAAGAGTACAGACTGCTTTAGAAAACACAATATCGTAGTGAACAGCTTAGAATGAACCGAAAGTTCACCAAGCATGACACGCCCTAATCAAGCCATTGAGTTGAGGGAGTCCTGTTATCGCCATTGAGTTGCGAGAGTTCTGTAATCGCCATTGAGTTGAGAAATGCCGAGTGTTCAGTTGCTTGCTTGCCCAAAACATGAATCACGTGCATCTCAAGTCTGTTCACGAGTATACAAGTCATAGCTGGAATTCTTTGTTGGCACCACCTCTAATACGCAGTGCGATTCCCACATCGCAAATGTGGCGCCTGCTGCAATGCTGTATTTGGCGCGGTTCGAGCCGCCAAAGATGTGTTGTCCAGGAAAACGGGCTGCGGCTGAGCCAATTCTTGGCTCGTCGCCGCAAAACAGCAAGATTGAGTGTTTCGCTCCGTACGTACCTTGAATCTTAGATATTCCAGCAACACGCAGTTGAAGCAAGTCAGCTACTTCGAGTTGAGGATTCACAATTACGTGCCAGATAGTTCTCCGCTCGGCTGGATACTCGTACGTTGACGCACCTTCCCTTTCTCAAACGCTATACGCGAAACAGATTACCCAATACTGCTTTTCATGGCTGCCTCTGAATCATTCTGGTCGCATTCCACACCGCGCACGCGCCTCCTCCTCCTACTCCTCCTGTCTCTCCTCTTCCCTCCTTCCACCCTCTCTGCACGCCACCTCTTTCCCCAAGCCACCAGCGAGGTTCTTCCGCAAGTCGCCACCCTTCCGCAATCCGGAGCCACCCTTACGCCGGCCGCCAAGGTTCTCCCCCAAGCAACCGAGGTTGACGCTGTGCGCAAGTTCCTCCTAGCGGCGGGGGTCACCAACCCCGTCCCGGGCGCTCCCGCGACCGCATGCAGCGTCGCCGGCATTGGCTGCGACGCCAACGACTTCGTCACGTCGCTCAAGTTCTCCCCGTGCACCGCCTACCCGACTCTCCTCACCGGCTCCATTTCGACCGACATCAGGAGTCTCGTGCATCTCACGCATGTCGACTTTTCGTGCAACAACCTGGGGGGTTCCCTGCCAACGGTTCTCGGGCTGCTGACGAATCTGCGGCTGGTGAACATGAGCGGAAATCGGCAACTTTATGGGTCCATTCCTTCATCGATTTTTGGACTGGGGTGGCTCTCGGTGATGGATTTTCGCGGGGCGGATTTGTACAGTGCTCTTCCGACTGGTTCGACGGCGTTTTCAGCGTCGCTAAGGCACTTGGACCTGTCATATAACCGGCTCTACAACTCAATTCCGTCAGCGCTTTCTCGTGCGACACGCCTGGAGCGGCTGGATTTAAGCTTCAACAATCTCAACGGCAACATACCGAAGCAGCTGAGTAACCTCAAGCGGCTCACCTATCTTAATCTGCGATGGAACAAGCTCGGTGGAAGTGTTCCCACGGAAATATCCAAGGCGTGGCGGCTGGAAAGGCTGCACTTGGAGGGGAATAGGCTGACGGGAAACATTCCCGCTCAATTGAACCAGCTTTTGTATTTGGAGCATCTGAGCCTGAGTTATAACTACTTGTCTGGTGGTGTCCACCCTGCGATTTTCCGCATGCCTAACCTGCGGAAGTTGAGTCTTCGTCGCAATTATTTCAATGGCACGATTCCCAAGTGGAAATCGGGTTACCAGACAGACACGCTGGAGCATCTTGACCTCGCGAAGAATCGTTTCAATGGAACCGTGCCATCTGGGCTTGGTGGTGTTGTGACGCTCACCCATCTCGATTTGAGCGAGAACAAGTTTGACAATAGCATTCCATCAGTGTTGGGCGAGTTGACAGCCCTCCAGTTCCTGAATCTCGCGTGGAACAAGCTGAACGGTTCGCTTCCTGGGTATCTCAGTCACCTTCGCAGCCTTCGCTCACTTTCCGTCGCACACAACAAACTGACTGGAGTAAGTTCTAACTTCCACAACAACGGACACGAGTCGCCGCGAGTCGTTCTGGATCTGAGTTACAACTACATCGGTGGAAGTCTGGTCCCCTTCCAAAATCTGGAGAGGGTTGCGAATCTCGACCTTTCGCACAACCGACTGACGGGGAGCATACCCGTCAGTTTTTTGACTGGATCGACAGTTCTCAAGCGAGTCAACATCAGCTCGAACTACATCAACAGCACACTCGATCCGCTCACCACCCTGACGAATCTCGCTTCCCTGGATGCGTCGCACAACCGACTGCGAGGGTCGATTCCGTCGCGGCTGGTATCGCTGGCTCAGCTTTCGCACCTCGATCTGCACGATAATGACATTGTCAACCACATCCCGGACCCCACATTTGAGAACTCCGCTTTACGCTTCATCGACATCAGCTACAATGAGATCAACAGTGAGTGCATTTGCTCAAGTGCTGTCTGTGTTCTGTTCAAGATTCGTCTGGTTTATCTTCGTTGGAAGAGATGGAGCAGAGTTAATAGAGGTATGAAATAAAAAATGTTAATTGATGTTTATTTTCTGTCTTATTACGCCCCTCCTTCCTCTTTTGCAACTTTCAGGTCACCTTCCTGAATTTGTGGAATGCCCACGAGTGATCAACTTTGCTGGAAACCACCTTTCTGGCACCATTCCAGCCTCCATATCCTCCTGTGGTGCCTCTCTGATCAAACTCGACCTCGCTAATAACCGGATCGGAGGAGCACTTCCAGCGGCAGCTCTCGGTGATCTCTCTTACCTCCGCTACTTAAACCTTCCTCGAAATCGTTTCACGGGCAGCATACCAGAAGAATTGACTGGGCTGCGTGCCCTGACCTCACTCAATCTGGCCTGGAACCGGCTCACGGGCAGCATTCCAGAAAATTTGGGAGATGCTTCTAATGGTGGTGCGAAACTCGAGGTGCTTCGACTCGCGGGTAATGATCTGGGGGGCTCTGTTCCACAGCAGCTCTCGGAATTTCCTCTGTGGTCGTTTCTGCCTGGCAATCAGAACTTGTGTGGCCATCCTGTGGGCAGCTGCTGAATGACTCGTGTGCTGGACTGGAGACTCAATGGGGAGGCTGGATGAGAATACACCTATGGGTAGATTGTACATGGTACGGGGAAATGGTGCTCACTGCTCAGCAACAAGGGTGCTCAGCATCGACAGTCAAGCACATGCGAAATAATTGCCGGCGTATATATTGGGGGGAACGGCATGCCGTAGTTACATTTTGAAGATAAACCCAGCTGGTTTGGTGTACAGGTGTGCTGGGTAGGTAGTTATTTATTCTGGGTGTACATGTCACGAGCAGTGAGTGGTAGGATCATGTTGTACCAGTGGCATACCGTATGTATGTAGTTCAGGAATATTATGAAGTATACTGTATTTATTACTGTACTGTGACGGTACAGTACACTGTAGACACCTCGCTCGTTGCATGTAGAAAGAAACTTCTGATGAAAATGATAAGCAACAATAACACTCTGGACTTATCTCCAATTTCACAGCACTACACAACGTACGTACACCGTAGTCAAGGGATGGCATGGCAATAACATGTCCATCGACCACTACTGTAATAAAACCATGTTCCTTATTTCACAAATAAATAAAGACGCAAACACGCATTTCAGCTCGCAATATCCTTCCGAACGATATGGCGAGCGCAGGAAGGACCCACTGTCCACTCCACACTTCCTCTTCGCACAAGCATGGCAGCACCCACATTCATTTAGCGTGATTCCCCTGCCAAGGTCTCTCAGAACGAACAGCTGGTCTTAGAATTGCGGCTGCCCTGCTGATGCATAATGCTGCCACAGTGCCACCGGTACCATCCTCCTCCCTGTTGAGAATTCCCAGATTGGCACCAGTACCTAGCAGGCTAGTAGCCCTTCGGACGCAGCAGACAGCCGCAGTTGGAACTTGAAAAGCCACTCCAAAATTCCAGCCTCTGCCAGTGTGTGCTCTGATGCCTCTGCCAGATCCCCGACCCCTTTTTGCAGACACCCCAGCCTCCCAACCCCCCTTTAGACGCCATAGCCATACGGTGAGTCCTCCTGTGACGCTTCTGCCAGAGTGTGCTCTGATGCCTCTGCTAGATAGTCCTTGCTGCAGCGATGCACAGGGAGTGACACGTGAGAGTGGCACACACAGGGAGACACACAGAAGCAGAGAGGCCAATCAGGAGGAATTTAATGGCATCACCTGTTACTCACTGCCTCGTCCTGGTCTCTCTGCCGTTCCACACCGCTATGCCGCTTCTCCCATCGCCCTCACCTTCTCACATCGCCCTCACCTTGCTGCTGCCGCTTTGCGAGTGGTGTTGGCCTTGCCCTGAAACGCCACAACCATCCACACTCACTGCCTCGTCTGGATATGCCTGCCCTGCCACGCTCCTATGGCGCTTCTCACGTTGCTCACACATCCCTCCCATCGCCCTCACCTTGCTGCTGCCACTTTGCGGGTGGTGTTGGCCTTGCCCTGGAACGCCACCCCGGGCACACTCACTGCCTAGTGGCGGCTGTCCCACTGTCCTTCCACACCCCTATGGCACTTGTCACATCGCCCCCAACTTGCCCCACCTTCTCCCATCGCCCTCACCTTGCTGCTGCCACTTTGCGGGTGGTGTTGGCCTTGCCCTGGAACGCCACCACGAGACACTTGCTCCAACGCGGGCCGCCCGCATCCTCCACTGTCGCCGCCCGCACAGCCGCTAGCAGACGAACAAACAAGGCTCGGTCGGCAGTGGTGCTGCAGGCAGGGGCGAAAAGTGGGGCGAAGAGGGAGGAGGAAGGGGGACGAAGGAAGAGAATGGATGGAGAGTGAGGAAGTGAGGGGACAAAATGCTACGTGAAAGAAGGAAGATACAGTCAAAGACAGAGAGGGGAGAACAGCGAGAGAAGGAAGGGGCTAAAAATCAAGAGAGCGAAAAAAAAGTCACAGAAGCATTACGTGAGGGCATGAGAGCAGTCAATGGCAATAATGAGGCTCACCATAAGGGGGACGAGAGCCAGCTGAGGATGTCTGGAATCTTTGAGATGTTTCAAAGCACGATTTTGAAACGTCCCAAAACTTGATCTTGAGACGTCTCAAGGCAAGGACTCACCACAGGGGGGACGAGAGCCAACCGAGGATGTCTGGAAGCTTCACGGACGTGAGCAGGCGGCGAAGCGACTGGGGCTTCCTCTTCTTCTCCACCAGAGTCAGCTGGGAGAAACTCTGCTGAAACGCCAGGGAGATCCCCATGCTATCCAGCCATGCCTCCAGGTACTCCCCTTCCTCCTCCTCTTCTTCCTCCTCCTTGTCCTCCTCATCCTCCACGCCCTCTCCGTTCGCGTCCCCTCCACTCGCACCAGCAGCAGCAGCGCCGTTCGATTTCTCTGACCCGCCGTTCGCATACCCAGCTGGGGCACCGGCCATTTCTTCCTTTGCTCCCTCGTCTTCCTCCTCTTCCTCCTCCTCCCTCCCCTCCGCCACTGCAGCATCTCTCTCCATCTGAGCCGCCTGCTGTCGGCCAATCACGTGCGCCCACGTGGCGCACTCCTCCAGGGGCGGCGGCCACAGGTCCTGAGGCAGCGGCTGGGGCGGCTTGGGCGGACGAAGATTCTTGATTGAGATATTCTTCGAGCGGACCAGCGCCGGGCGGTCTGTCTTGGCGTTTTCCCGCATCGCCTTGCTGATGAATCGCGAGGACGCGAGAATGTCATGCACGCGGGTGCTTGCGCCGCCCGGCCCGCCGCCCGCTCCACCATAAAAGCTAGTACTGCCATACCCATACCGAGAACTCAGCGCTCCCCCAGAAGCAATATCCCTCCCCTCGCTCTCCTGCGCTCCCACCCCTCCGCTGCTAGTGGTGGGAACGGCACCCATACCAGCGATAACAACCCCTCCGGACGTGGTCCAGATAGCCGGCACGTCGCGGGCATCAAAGGGCACGCGGGCAACAGGGCGCCTCCCTACGGCCGCACCCAGCACAATCTGATGCAGAGCGGCAAAGCGCTGCGACTTGTTCAGGTCCTTGATCCAGGAGGTGTCTCCGAATTCCGGTGCGGGAACCAGGGCCGTGGAGGAGGAGGAGGAGGCGGCAGCACTAGCAGCAGCAGCACCAGCAGCAGCGGTGGTGTCGGCTGCAGTGGCGGAAGCGGCGGAGTTGAGGGGGTAGCAGCAGGCCTCGTACGCCCGCCGGACCTTCATAAGCAGCCTCCGCTCCTCCTCCCGGCCCGGGAGCAGGATGATAGCTGCAATGTGCGGGCGGAACCAGTCGAGCACGTCACTAGGTGACACCTCCACTGCCCCCTCCCTCACATGCTTCGGCGGTTTGTTACTAGCTGCCCCTGCTCCGGGTTTCCCTGTCGCTCCGTCTCCTCCGTCCCCGCCTTCCCCCTCGTCGTCTAAAGCCCAGAGGCTTTTCGCTGCGCCGTGGACTTTCCAGACTAGGAGATGGTTGGCTGATTCGTAGGAGAAGACGAGGAGGGTGGGGACGCAGAAGGCGACGATGACCAGCGCGAAACCGATCTTAGGGAGCGTTTCGAGCTGCACGAAGTTGAACCCCATGGTGGCGATGATGAAGATCATCTCGGCGACGATTAGGGTCGCTGCGAACGCGTCGTGGGTCGAGGCGACGAACGGGGAGGCGGCGAGCTGGAGGCCGATGAGAATGACTTGCACGGGGAAGAGAACTGTCATCTGTAGTGGGGGAGGGGGAAGGAGGGGTTGGGGGGAAATGAGAGGGGTTGTGGTTGATGCGACGAACGGGGAGGCGGCGAGCTGGAGGCCGATGAGAATGACTTGCACGGGGAAGAGCACAGTCATCTGGTGGGTGAGGGGGGTGGGGGGGAAAGGAGAGGAGAGGAGTTGGGGGGAAAAGAGAGGGGTTGTGGTTGAGGCGAGAAAGGAGAGGCGGCGAGCTGGAGGCCGATGAGAATGACTTGCACGGGGAAGAGCACAGTCATCTGGTGAAGGAGGGAAGGGGGAGAGGGGTGTTGGAGGAGACGGGGAAGGGGAAAAGCAGAGGCACAGAGCGGGGAGGGGAGGAAAGGGGAAGAAGGGGATAGAGATATGGAGAGTTAGGGAAACAATGGGATTCGGGGTTGTGAGTTGAGGCGACGATGAGGATGGCTGAGAACGCATCGGGAAAAAGAGGAGAAGGGGATGTAAAATGAGGAGGAAAAAGAGAGGAATTGGGGTTGAGGTGAGGATGAAGGCTGATGAGCTGGAATTTTCGGAGGAAGCAAATTGTCATCTCGTATAACAGTACTGCGAAACACTCACCATTCCCCCTCCACCTTCCCCCCCTCCCTAGCACACACGGATACCTGAACAGGGGGCGAGTCAATGAGGAAGAAGAACAACGCAGCAACGAGAATCCTCCTCGCCAACAGCATGAGGTGCCAGTAGAAGCAGCGGTACTCGTATCGTGTGACCATCCACCCCCAGCGCGCGCGGAACGCCCGTGTATCGAGCAGCTTCTGCTTCTTGCCGTAGAGCATGGTGAGCGCGTAGAAGATGGGCGCGGCCTTCCCCCTCCCACTCCCTTCCCCTCCATCCCCCTAACCCTCTCCCTGGACAGCACACATACCTGAACCGGAGGCGAGTCAATGAGGAACACAAACAGCGCCGCGACCAGAATCCTCCTCGCGAACAACATAAGATGCCAGTAGAAATAACGATATTCATATCGCGTGACCATCCACCCCCAGCGCGCGCGGAACGCCTGCGTGTCGAGCAGCTTCTGCTTCTTGCCGTAGAGCATGGTGAGCGCGTAGTAGATGGGCGCGCCCGCCACAAAGACGATGGTGACGGCGATGGCGATCGCAAACAGCGTGATGCGCGCACTGCTGCTCCACAGGTCCGTGGGGGAGAATGTCATGACAGTCACATCGTACGTGCTCTTGGAAAAGGCCTGGAGGGGAGGGAGTGGGGGAGAGAGGGAGAGAGGGAGGGAGGGAAGGAGGGAGGGAGGGAGGGAGGGAGGGAGGGAGGGAGGGAGGGAGGGAGGGAGTGAGGGAGGGAGGGAGGGAGGGAGGGAGGGAGGGAGGGAGGGAGGGTGGGAGGGAGGGAGGGAGGGGAAGGAGGAGAGGGGTGAGAGCGCGGTTGAGTGTGGAGCATGGTGAGCGCATAGTAGATGGGCGCACCCGCCACAAAGACGATGGTGACGGCGATGGCGATCGCAAACAGCGTGATGCGCGCACTGCTGCTCCACAGGTCCGTGGGGGAGAATGTCATCACTGTCTCGTCGTACGTGCTCTTGGAAAAGGCCTGGAGGGGAGGAGGGGGAGGGGTGGGAGGGCTTACCTGGAAGGGGAGGGCTCACCTGGAAGCAGCGCACGGTGACGGGCAGATAGCAAACGTCCAGCCAGTTGGCCGCGCCGTGAATACAAATATCCTCCAGAGGTGGTCTCACACAGTGCAGGTCTCACCTGGAAGGGAAGGGCTCACCCAGTGCAGGGCTCACCTGTTAGCGCAAGGCTAACCTGGAAGCAGCGCACGGTGACGGGCAGATAGCACACGTCCAGCCAGTTGGCCGCGCCGTGAATATAAATATCCTCCAGAGGGGCCGGCGGGTTCGCCGACGGCTTGTCTTCTCCAACCCCCCCTCCCTTCTCCCCACCCTTCTCCCCTCCCTTCTCCCCTCCCTTCTCCCCTCCCTTATCCCCTTTCCCCATTTGGCCTTGCGAGTGGGAGGAGTGCGCGGGTGAGGGGAAGAAGCGGCGGAGGGTGCCTTGCACGGCGAAGAGGAGGGCATAGGCGGCGAGACCCACAGCAGCGACTATCATGGTGAGCGCCCAGCGAGAGGTGAAGGGGAAGGAGACCTTGCAGTCCGGTCCCAGAATGTCCTGAGAGAGGGGATGGGGGGGGAGGGAGGGGTGGGGACAGGGGGGTTGCACACATAGGGTAGGAGGAGCAAGCAGGTGAGTCTAGGCCCCACGGCAGCAACGACCATGGTGAGCGCCCAGCAGGACGTGAAGGGGAAGGAGACCTTGCAGTCAGGGCCTAGGATGTCCTGATCGGGAGAGGAGGTGGAAGGGAGAAAGGGCGGAAGGTGGGGTGGGAGGGAGGGAGTGGAGGAATAAGAGGTGGAAGGTTCCTTGAGCACTGCCGGGACCTGCAGCTCACTGTTCATCGTTGATACCCACCCACCTCCCTCATGCCAAGCCATGTGGGCTGCTCTCCGTGAACCAACCACCAATGAGTGAGTGAGCGAGTGAGCAAGCGAGGGAGTGAGCGAGGGAGTGAGTGAGTGAGTGAGAAAGCGAGTGAGTGGGGGGCTCAGTGGCCCAGCCAGCTACCACGGAGAAGAGGCTGAGAGTGGAGAGCTCGACGGCCTTCCTGGCCCAGTCGGGGAACTGGAGGTCAACGGAGCCCAGCACTGCCAGGATCTGCAGCTCACTGTTCATCACCCACACCCCACCTCTCTGTGTGACCCTCCCAGGCACGTACCACAGAGAAGAGACTGAGTGTTGAGAGCTCCACGACTTTTCTCGCCCAGTCGGGGAACTGCAGATCCACAGAGCCCAGCACTGCCAGGATCTGCAGCTCACTGTTCATCATAGACACCGAGTGGAAGCGGTCAGAAAAGGCGGCCGTCGCCACCCACAGCAGGATCACGAGCACGAAGAAGAACCAGAAGAGCTGCGGAAGGGATGAAAGGGAAAGGGGGGGGGGGGGGAGAGAAGAGAGTTGGGAAAGGAAGAAGGGGAATTTCAAGTCAACTCAAAATTCAGCACGTCGCCACCCACAGCAGGATGACGAGCACAAAGAAGAACCAGAAGAGCTGCGCAAGGGACAAAACGGGGGGTGTTCGGGATGGGAAGAGTTGGTAGAGAGGGGAGAAATAGGTGAGATTGGATGAGCGCACGTGACCAGCGGAGCGCACGTGACCAGCGGAGCGCACATGACCAGCGGAGCACGTGCAGCCGAGAGTGGAGCATGAGCAGCAGGAGCAGAGCAAGGTCGCCAATTCCCAAGGCACTCACCGTTTCCATCCAGGAGGTGCACTGGTAGCACGTGCCGATGACTGAGTAGTAGCCGGAGGAAGGGGGAACAGAGGAGGAGGAGCAGAGCAGCGAGAGCAGAGCAGGGAGAGCAGGGGGGAGAGCAGAGCAGGGGCGGCAGAGCAATGGTCCCGACCCAACCCTCTAGGCACTCACGGTTTCCATCCAGGAGGTGCACTGGTAGCACGTGCCAATGACTGAGTAGTAGCCGGGGGCGCACATGGAGCAGAGGCGGTTCTGATTGTACCCCTCCGCGCACTGCGAGTCGTTGGGGGATGTGTACTCGTAGCCTGCACAGCCGTCTGGCGGAGGGGGAAAGGAAGGGTGAAGAGTGGGAGAGTCAGCGGACAGAGAGATACGTGGGAAGGGGCATGAGGCTGAGAGCTGCAGCACGTGGAGCAGAGGCGGTTCTGATTGTACCCCTCTGCACACTGCGAGTCATTGGGGGATGTATACTCGTAGCCCGCAAAGCTGTCTGGGATGGGGTTAAAGGGGGGGAAAAGGGCAGTGGAAGAGGGGGTATGGAAGTGGAGGGAGTAGAAAAGGGGCAGAAGAAGAGGGGGCGGCAGAGGAGGGGGGGGGCAGAGGAGGGGGGGGGAGCAGAGGAGGGGGGGGCAGAGGAGGGGGGGGCGGAAAAGGGGGTGGCAGAAGAGGAGGGGGCAGAGGAGGGAGGAGGCAGAGAACATGTGAGGAGGAAGAATGAGTTGTGGGCATATGGAGTGGAAGCAATTTTTTAGACTCGTCAGAAATTGCTCACAAGGGTGAGGTGTGGAAAAGAGGGGCGTGGCAAACGAGCGAAAGGTTAAGTGCGTGACACAAAAGTGAGTGAGGAAGGTATTACTCGACACATCTTGATACAAGATAGACGCGAAAGAGGCAACACGTACTTGACACGTCGCAGTAGTACACCGCGGGGTTGTCAGTGTAAACGCTCCCCGGGTTCAACCAGAAATCCGCAGCAATCGTACACGTCCCATTGGTGCAATCCATTGCGTTATCCCCGTGAATCGTGACTGTATCAGCACAAGTCACGCACTCGCTCGCAGCCGGAAGAAAGCTGAACGTCCCGTCCTCGCACATCACTGATCCCTGCCCCGCAGGGCACATAAACCCGACCTCGCAAGGCAGGCAAGCCAGATCATCCAGGGAGAAATAGCTCCCAGGATCGCACAACCCGAATTCGAGCTCGCGGGTGATTGGCGGGTAAGCGTCGGTCGGGCTGCTGACGGTGATCAGGAGGGTGAAATTCGCGGCCTCTTCGGGCGGCAGGACGAGGGAAACGGGCGGCAGGACCGCCCGGCCGCGGAGCGCGGTGGCACGGAGGAGGCCGGAGATTCTTGGGTCGGGCTGGATGGCGATGATGGAGGAGAAGTCGTCGGTGGCGACGTTGCCGTAGGCATCTAGAATGGTGACGGTGATGTTGACGATGGGCGTCTGCGTGTCGCCCATCACTGTGAACGGGACAGAGGCATCACTGCCGTTTCCCCCTTCCATCACATTCTTCTCCCACCTGCGGATGTGGTCGTGGGGAGGCAGGGAAGGGAGGGAAGCGCAGGAAGGGAAGGGAAGGGGAGGGAAGAGCAGGAAGGGAAGGAAGAGGGAGAGTGAGGATGGCGATGGTGGAAGAGAAGTCGTCGGTGGCGACGTTGCCGTAGGCGTCTAGAATGGTGACGGTGATGTTGACGATGGGCGTCTGCGTGTCGCCCATCACTGTGAACGGGACAGAGGCATCGCTGCCGTTTCCCCCTTCCAGTACATTCTTCTCCCATCTGTGGGTGGGTTGGTGGGGGGAAGGGAAGGGGAGCATAGGGGTTTGAGTGTCTCCCTATGACACTGACCAGTGATCAGGGACGAGGGTTGTACTGCACGCTGTCTGTGGCATGAGACAGGTGCATAGGAAGCAAACCAGGGCACGTACATGAGAGAGAAGGACGTGGGAGGGGTGCCGATGGTGTCCCTCTTGCTACTATCAGCGTCAGCACATGTGATCCTGACCCCCGGCCAGAAGGACGTGTCGAAGAATGCCACGCCCTGGCTGGGCACGGCTGCGTTGCCTTCAAACACCACATTCGTGCACGTCAGCTTGTTGCTCAGTGCCACAGCCGGCGGGAGAGAGGGCACCGATGACCCGCTGCCACTGCCACTGCTGCTGCTGCTGTCGCTGCCACTGCCACTGCTGCTGTCAGTCATCTCCCCGAGAGGGTTCTTTCGGAGAAGCTCACGATCCACATACACAGCCGCGCCGCCCTTCTTGGCATCGTTCCCCACAAACGAGCAGTTCAATATGCTTCCCTGCGAGTTGCCCTCGTAAAACAACCCGCCTCCGCCAAACGACGCTGCGTTTGAAGTGAAGTTGGAGAGGAAGACGGAGAGAGACGAATTCCCTGTGGCGAGGGCTCCTGCTCCCTTGCTGGCAGCGTTTGAGGCGAAATCGCAGCCGTTGATCGAGACGGTCGCGAGCGAATCGGAGAAGATGGCGCCGCCGCTGCTCCCGGTGTTGCCGGCGAGAGTGGAGCTGTTGATAACGAGGACGGCGGAGTCGGTGACGTGGAGCGCGCCACCGTCGCCCATAGGGCTCGCCACTCCAGTTGCTGCTGCTCCTGTTGCTGCTGTTGCTCCAGCTGCCGTGCTGTTACCGCCTTGGCCGGTGGTAACATTCCCAGCTACACCGGCAGCAGCAGGAGCAGAAGGAGAAGCAGCAGCAAGGATTCTGGCAGTAAGGCCCTTGGTGGTTAAGCTAGCCGATTCGATAGAGGAGGTGACTGCAGCTGCAAAGGCAGCAGCCATGCGGATAGAAGGCGAGAAAGGATAGGCGGAGTCAGAAAATCCGGTAGCAGTGGCAGCGGCGGTGGCGGTGGCAGTGGTGGTCGGAATGGTTGAAACAGCAGCAGAAGCAGAGGAGGAAGAGGAGGAAGAGGAGGAAGAGGACGGGATGCTGGCAGCAGTGTTGTTGTTGAAACTACCACCAATAATGGTTGCCACTGCCTGGCCTCTCACCATCACTGCATGGACGGCATTCTCAGAGAACGTCGAGTTGAAAGAGGACAAAACCGCCCGCCCCTCGATCAGCGCCGCGCCGCCCAAATCCGCGCTGTTCGCGATCAGATCAGATCCTGTGAGAGCGACGCTGGCCGAATGGACGGCGTAGATCACTCCGCCGTAAAACCGGGCAGAATTGTTTCGAAACGTGGTGCCCGATGCGTTCACCTGAGAGTCCATTTCTGCCCAGACAAACCCCCCACCCCCTTGCGCACTGTTCCCCTCTACAATCACCCCCGATACACTCAACTTTGCCGACCCACTCGCACGAACCCCCCCTCCCTCGCTCCCGCCCTCGTTCCCCTTCACCTCCCCCTTTACAATCACGCCGGACGTAGAGTCAATCAGCGCCAAACACCCTCCCCCGGATATCGCCTTGTTGCCGTCACACACCGTCCTCTGCATGTCCAGCACACTGTACTCCTCCAGTGCCACCCCGCCACCTGTCGTCGCGTCGTTCTGCGACAGCTGGCAGTCGGTGATTCGCGCGTCGCCGGTCATGGCGGCGTAAACCGCGCCGCCCGCCAGGTCAGCGTGGTTGAGGGAGAACGAGGAGGAGGTGACCGTAGCGACGGTGGACACAGAGGGAGTGGCAGGAGCGGCGGGATCGGAGGGAGAGGAAGAGGAGGAGGAGAGGACAGAGCCAACGATTGCGAGTGCGCCGCCCTTAGCAGCAGAGTTGCTTTTGAAGGAGGTGGAGAGGAGGGAGAGGGCGGTCCCACTGTGGAACACACCCCCTCCTCGTGCTGCCATGGCCTTGTTCTGCGAGAACCGGGTGTTGCTGATTGTCACGTCTGTGGCTTCACCCTGAGGGGGAGGGGAAGGGCAACGAAGGGAGCAGGAAGGGCAGAGAAGGGAACAAAGAGTGGTTCTGAGTCGTCTCAACGATGCTGCCCCCTCTTCCTCGTGCTGCCATGGCCTTGTTCTGCGAGAACTGGCAGTTGCTGATTGTCACGTCTGTTGCTTCCCCCTGAGGGGAGGGAGTGGCAGAGAACGGAACAGGAAGGGTGTTTGTGTCAACACGGGGAGGAGGGAGAGGAGGAGTGGATAGAACCGACGATGGTGAGTGCACCGCTCCTGGTGAGAAAAATAGTTGCTTATGCTCACAACAAAAAAAAAACGTGAGAGACAGCCTTACCTCCGTTATAAGCACGCCTCCGCCCTCCCCAGTGGTGGCCTCGTTAGCAACAAAGTCACAATCGTCCACAGTGATGGGGTTGATGGTGTTGACTGCCATGCCGCCCCCCCCCATGTCCCCCACGTTGCCCTCCACTCTGCTCTTCGCCATGCTGCCACCATCCAGCCAGTAGACTGCGCAGGGGAGGAAGGGGGGTTGAGGAGTGCAAAGAGAGGGAATGCGGTAAAGAGGGGTTGCACGGAGTGCAGCAACTCTCATCCCCCCATGTCCCCCGCGTTGCCCTCCACTCGGCTCTTCGCCATCGTGCCGCCATCCAGCCAGTAGACTGCATCCGTGGGGGGGAGTGCCGAGACCTCAAGATTCAATGAAACTCGCGGGACCTCAAGATTCAATGAAACTCGCGGGACCTCAAGATTCAATGAAACTCGCGGGACCTCGAGATTCAATGAAACTCGCGGGACCTCGAGATTCAATGAAACTCGCGGGACCTCGAGATTCAATGAAACTCGCGGGACCTCGAGATTCAATGAAACTCGCGGGACCTCGAGATTCAATGAAACTCGCGGGACCTCGAGATTCAATGAAACTCGCGGGACCTCGAGATTCAATGAAACTCGCGGGACCTCGAGATTCAATGAAACTCGCGGGACCTCGAGATTCAATGAAACTCGCGGGACCTCAAGATTCAATGAAACTCGCGGGACCTCAAGATTCAATGAAACTCGCGGGACCTCGAGATTCAATGAAACTCGCGGGACCTCAAGATTCAATGAAACTCGCGGGACCTCGAGATTCAATGAAACTCGCAGGACCTCGAGATTCAATGAAACTCGCGGGACCTCAAGATTCAATGAAACTCGCGGGACCTCAAGATTCAATGAAACTCGCGGGACCTCGAGATTCAATGAAACTCGCGGGACCTCAAGATTCAATGAAACTCGCGGGACCTCGAGATTCAATGAAACTCGCGGGACCTCGAGATTCAATGAAACTCGCGGGACCTCAAGATTCAATGAAACTCGCGGGACCTCAAGATTCAATGAAACTCGCGGGACCTCGAGATTCAATGAAACTCGCGGGACCTCAAGATTCAATGAAACTCGCGGGACCTCGAGATTCAATGAAACTCGCGGGACCTCGAGATTCAATGAAACTCGCGGGACCTCAAGATTCAATGAAACTCGCGGGACCTCAAGATTCAATGAAACTCGCGGGACCTCAAGATTCAATGAAACTCGCGGGACCTCAAGATTCAATGAAACTCGCGGGACCTCAAGATTCAATGAAACTCGCAGGACCTCAAGATTCAATGAAACTCGCGGGACCTCAAGATTCAATGAAACTCGCGGGACCTCAAGATTCAATGAAACTCGCGGGACCTCAAGATTCAATGAAACTCGCAGGACCTCAAGATTCAATGAGACTCGCGGGACCTCAAGATTCAATGAAACTCGCGGGACCTCAAGATTCAATGAAACTCGCGGGACCTCAAGATTCAATGAAACTCGCGGGACCTCAAGATTCAATGAAACTCGCGGGACCTCAAGATTCAATGAAACTCGCGGGACCTCAAGATTCAATGAAACTCGCGGGACCTCAAGATTCAATGAAACTCGCGGGACCTCAAGATTCAATGAAACTCGCGGGACCTCGAGATTCAATGAAACTCGCGGGACCTCAAGATTCAATGAAACTCGCGGGACCTCAAGATTCAATGAAACTCGCGGGACCTCGAGATTCAATGAAACTCGCGGGACCTCGAGATTCAATGAAACTCGCGGGACCTCGAGATTCAATGAAACTCGCGGGACCTCGAGATTCAATGAAACTCGCGGGACCTCGAGATTCAATGAAACTCGCGGGACCTCGAGATTCAATGAAACTCGCGGGACCTCGAGATTCAATGAAACTCGCGGGACCTCGAGATTCAATGAAACTCGCGGGACCTCAAGATTCAATGAAACTCGCGGGACCTCAAGATTCAATGAAACTCGCGGGACCTCGAGATTCAATGAAACTCGCGGGACCTCAAGATTCAATGAAACTCGCGGGACCTCGAGATTCAATGAAACTCGCGGGACCTCGAGATTCAATGAAACTCGCGGGACCTCAAGATTCAATGAAACTCGCGGGACCTCAAGATTCAATGAAACTCGCGGGACCTCGAGATTCAATGAAACTCGCGGGACCTCAAGATTCAATGAAACTCGCGGGACCTCGAGATTCAATGAAACTCGCGGGACCTCGAGATTCAATGAAACTCGCGGGACCTCAAGATTCAATGAAACTCGCGGGACCTCAAGATTCAATGAAACTCGCGGGACCTCGAGATTCAATGAAACTCGCGGGACCTCAAGATTCAATGAAACTCGCGGGACCTCGAGATTCAATGAAACTCGCGGGACCTCGAGATTCAATGAAACTCGCGGGACCTCGAGATTCAATGAAACTCGCGGGACCTCAAGATTCAATGAAACTCGCGGGACCTCAAGATTCAATGAAACTCGCGGGACCTCAAGATTCAATGAGACTCGCGGGACCTCAAGATTCAATGAAACTCGCGGGACCTCAAGATTCAATGAAACTCGCGGGACCTCAAGATTCAATGAAACTCGCGGGACCTCAAGATTCAATGAAACTCGCGGGACCTCAAGATTCAATGAAACTCGCGGGACCTCAAGATTCAATGAAACTCGCGGGACCTCAAGATTCAATGAAACTCGCGGGACCTCAAGATTCAATGAAACTCGCGGGACCTCGAGATTCAATGAAACTCGCGGGACCTCAAGATTCAATGAAACTCGCGGGACCTCAAGATTCAATGAAACTCGCGGGACCTCGAGATTCAATGAAACTCGCGGGACCTCGAGATTCAATGAAACTCGCGGGACCTCGAGATTCAATGAAACTCGCGGGACCTCGAGATTCAATGAAACTCGCGGGACCTCGAGATTCAATGAAACTCGCGGGACCTCGAGATTCAATGAAACTCGCGGGACCTCAAGATTCAATGAAACTCGCGGGACCTCAAGATTCAATGAAACTCGCGGGACCTCGAGATTCAATGAAACTCGCGGGACCTCAAGATTCAATGAAACTCGCGGGACCTCAAGATTCAATGAAACTCGCGGGACCTCGAGATTCAATGAAACTCGCGGGACCTCGAGATTCAATGAAACTCGCGGGACCTCAAGATTCAATGAAACTCGCGGGACCTCGAGATTCAATGAAACTCGCGGGACCTCGAGATTCAATGAAACTCGCGGGACCTCGAGATTCAATGAAACTCGCGGGACCTCGAGATTCAATGAAACTCGCGGGACCTCGAGATTCAATGAAACTCGCGGGACCTCGAGATTCAATGAAACTCGCGGGACCTCGAGATTCAATGAAACTCGCGGGACCTCGAGATTCAATGAAACTCGCGGGACCTCAAGATTCAATGAAACTCGCGGGACCTCGAGATTCAATGAAACTCGCGGGACCTCAAGATTCAATGAAACTCGCGGGACCTCGAGATTCAATGAAACTCGCGGGACCTCGAGATTCAATGAAACTCGCGGGACCTCGAGATTCAATGAAACTCGCGGGACCTCAAGATTCAATGAAACTCGCGGGACCTCGAGATTCAATGAAACTCGCGGGACCTCGAGATTCAATGAAACTCGCGGGACCTCGAGATTCAATGAAACTCGCGGGACCTCAAGATTCAATGAAACTCGCGGGACCTCGAGATTCAATGAAACTCGCGGGACCTCAAGATTCAATGAAACTCGCGGGACCTCGAGATTCAATGAAACTCGCGGGACCTCGAGATTCAATGAAACTCGCGGGACCTCGAGATTCAATGAAACTCGCGGGACCTCAAGATTCAATGAAACTCGCGGGACCTCGAGATTCAATGAAACTCGCGGGACCTCGAGATTCAATGAAACTCGCGGGACCTCAAGATTCAATGAAACTCGCGGGACCTCGAGATTCAATGAAACTCGCGGGACCTCGAGATTCAATGAAACTCGCGGGACCTCGAGATTCAATGAAACTCGCGGGACCTCAAGATTCAATGAAACTCGCGGGACCTCAAGATTCAATGAAACTCGCGGGACCTCGAGATTCAATGAAACTCGCGGGACCTCAAGATTCAATGAAACTCGCGGGACCTCAAGATTCAATGAAACTCGCGGGACCTCGAGATTCAATGAAACTCGCGGGACCTCGAGATTCAATGAAACTCGCGGGACCTCAAGATTCAATGAAACTCGCGGGACCTCGAGATTCAATGAAACTCGCGGGACCTCGAGATTCAATGAAACTCGCGGGACCTCGAGATTCAATGAAACTCGCGGGACCTCGAGATTCAATGAAACTCGCGGGACCTCGAGATTCAATGAAACTCGCGGGACCTCGAGATTCAATGAAACTCGCGGGACCTCGAGATTCAATGAAACTCGCGGGACCTCGAGATTCAATGAAACTCGCGGGACCTCAAGATTCAATGAAACTCGCGGGACCTCGAGATTCAATGAAACTCGCGGGACCTCAAGATTCAATGAAACTCGCGGGACCTCGAGATTCAATGAAACTCGCGGGACCTCGAGATTCAATGAAACTCGCGGGACCTCGAGATTCAATGAAACTCGCGGGACCTCAAGATTCAATGAAACTCGCGGGACCTCGAGATTCAATGAAACTCGCGGGACCTCGAGATTCAATGAAACTCGCGGGACCTCAAGATTCAATGAAACTCGCGGGACCTCGAGATTCAATGAAACTCGCGGGACCTCAAGATTCAATGAAACTCGCGGGACCTCGAGATTCAATGAAACTCGCGGGACCTCAAGATTCAATGAAACTCGCGGGACCTCGAGATTCAATGAAACTCGCGGGACCTCGAGATTCAATGAAACTCGCGGGACCTCGAGATTCAATGAAACTCGCGGGACCTCAAGATTCAATGAAACTCGCGGGACCTCGAGATTCAATGAAACTCGCGGGACCTCAAGATTCAATGAAACTCGCGGGACCTCGAGATTCAATGAAACTCGCGGGACCTCGAGATTCAATGAAACTCGCGGGACCTCGAGATTCAATGAAACTCGCGGGACCTCAAGATTCAATGAAACTCGCGGGACCTCGAGATTCAATGAAACTCGCGGGACCTCGAGATTCAATGAAACTCGCGGGACCTCAAGATTCAATGAAACTCGCGGGACCTCGAGATTCAATGAAACTCGCGGGACCTCGAGATTCAATGAAACTCGCGGGACCTCGAGATTCAATGAAACTCGCGGGACCTCGAGATTCAATGAAACTCGCGGGACCTCAAGATTCAATGAAACTCGCGGGACCTCGAGATTCAATGAAACTCGCGGGACCTCAAGATTCAATGAAACTCGCGGGACCTCGAGATTCAATGAAACTCGCGGGACCTCGAGATTCAATGAAACTCGCGGGACCTCGAGATTCAATGAAACTCGCGGGACCTCGAGATTCAATGAAACTCGCGGGACCTCAAGATTCAATGAAACTCGCGGGACCTCGAGATTCAATGAAACTCGCGGGACCTCGAGATTCAATGAAACTCGCGGGACCTCAAGATTCAATGAAACTCGCGGGACCTCGAGATTCAATGAAACTCGCGGGACCTCGAGATTCAATGAAACTCGCGGGACCTCGAGATTCAATGAAACTCGCGGGACCTCGAGATTCAATGAAACTCGCGGGACCTCAAGATTCAATGAAACTCGCGGGACCTCGAGATTCAATGAAACTCGCGGGACCTCAAGATTCAATGAAACTCGCGGGACCTCGAGATTCAATGAAACTCGCGGGACCTCGAGATTCAATGAAACTCGCGGGACCTCGAGATTCAATGAAACTCGCGGGACCTCGAGATTCAATGAAACTCGCGGGACCTCGAGATTCAATGAAACTCGCGGGACCTCAAGATTCAATGAAACTCGCGGGACCTCGAGATTCAATGAAACTCGCGGGACCTCAAGATTCAATGAAACTCGCGGGACCTCGAGATTCAATGAAACTCGCGGGACCTCGAGATTCAATGAAACTCGCGGGACCTCGAGATTCAATGAAACTCGCGGGACCTCGAGATTCAATGAAACTCGCGGGACCTCGAGATTCAATGAAACTCGCGGGACCTCGAGATTCAATGAAACTCGCGGGACCTCGAGATTCAATGAAACTCGCGGGACCTCAAGATTCAATGAAACTCGCGGGACCTCGAGATTCAATGAAACTCGCGGGACCTCAAGATTCAATGAAACTCGCGGGACCTCAAGATTCAATGAAACTCGCGGGACCTCAAGATTCAATGAAACTCGCGGGACCTCGAGATTCAATGAAACTCGCGGGACCTCGAGATTCAATGAAACTCGCGGGACCTCAAGATTCAATGAAACTCGCGGGACCTCAAGATTCAATGAAACTCGCGGGACCTCGAGATTCAATGAAACTCGCGGGACCTCGAGATTCAATGGAAAAATAAGCCTTGGCAAGAACTCGGGGGTGGTGAGCAGAGAGACTCACCTCCGCCACCTGAAGCCACTGCATAGTTGTAGCCGAACGTGACGTTGCTGATGGTGGCTGCCGGCTGACTGCTGCCTTGGAGTGAGTGCTGCCCTGGCATGCACTCACTCTCGGGTGTTGAGCAGAGAGACTCACCTCAGCCTCCTGAAGCCACTGCATAGTTGTAGCCAAAGGTGACGTTGCTGATGGTGGCTGCGGACATCTCTGTTTTGGAGTGAGCCACCTCAAAACCGGATCTAGTTCTCAAGCCTGGAGCAGAGAGACTCACCTCAGCCTCCTGAAGCCACTGCATAGTTGTAGCCAAAGGTAACGTTGCTGATGGTGGCTGCGGACATCTCTGTTTTGGAGTGAGCCACCTCAAAACCGGATCTAGTTCTCAAGCCTGGAGCAGAGAGACTCACCTCAGCCTCCTGAAGCCACTGCATAGTTGTAGCCAAAGGTGACGTTGCTGATGGTGGCTGCGGACATCTCTGTTTTGGAGTGAGCCACCTCAAAACCGGATCTAGTTCTCAAGCCTGGAGCAGAGAGACTCACCTCCGCCTCCTGAAGCCACTGCATAGTTGTAGCCAAAGGTGACGTTGCTAATGGTGGCTGCAGGTGATGCGATGTAGAGACCCCCGCCCATGTACGCCTGTGGGAAGGGAGAGAGAGAGGGAGGGGGGAGCAGAGAGGGGAAGGGGAAGGAGAGGGAGGAGGGGGAAAGCCTGAAGCGACGGCATAGTTGTAGCCAAAGGTGATTTTGCTAATGGTGGCTGCAGGTGATGCGATGTAGAGCCCCCCGCCCATGTACGCCTGTGGGAAGGGAGAGAGAGAGGGAGGGGGGAGCAGAGAGGGGAAGGGGAAGGAGAGGGAGGAGGGGGAAAGCCTGAAGCGACGGCATAGTTGTAGCCAAAGGTGATTTTGCTAATGGTGGCTGCAGGTGATGCGATGTAGAGCCCCCCGCCCATGTACGCCTGTGGGAAGGGAGAGAGAGAGGGAGGGGGGAGCAGAGAGGGGAAGGGGAAGGAGAGGGAGGAGGGGGAAAGCCTGAAGCGACGGCATAGTTGTAGCCAAAGGTGATTTTGCTAATGGTGGCTGCAGGTGATGCGATGTAGAGCCCCCCGCCCATGTACGCCTGTGGGAAGGGAGAGAGAGAGGGAGGGGGGAGCAGAGAGGGGAAGGGGAAGGAGAGGGAGGAGGGGGAAAGCCTGAAGCGACGGCATAGTTGTAGCCAAAGGTGATTTTGCTAATGGTGGCTGCAGGTGATGCGATGTAGAGCCCCCCGCCCATGTACGCCTGTGGGAAGGGAGAGAGAGAGGGAGGGGGGAGCAGAGAGGGGAAGGGGAAGGAGAGGGAGGAGGGGGAAAGCCTGAAGCGACGGCATAGTTGTAGCCAAAGGTGATTTTGCAAATGGTGGCTGCAGGTGATGCGATGTAGAGCCCCCCGCCCATGTACGCCTGTGGGAAGGGAGAGAGGAGAGTGGGGGGAGCAGAGAGGGGAAGCAAAAATCATCACCACCAACGCCACCATTACCTGCCATTACCACCCCACCTCACCACAACCAACAGCATCGCACCGCACTGTACCACACCACACCGTACCGCACTGCACTCACCCAGTTGTTGCTGACGGTGGAGTTGGAGAGCTCAAACGTCACGTCCAGCTTGTTATACACGTTTGTGCTGATCCCTCCTCCCTGGGCTTTAAGCCCCTCCGTCATCAGCCCGTTGTTCCCCGAGATATTGCAACCGCGCACCACCGCATTGACATTCCATAAATACACCCCGACACCCAGGTTAACCGCGGCATACCCTGTATTATCCAGGATATTACTATCGATTAACTCCACGCTTCCAGTTGTTTCCAGGCTCCAGCAATCCACACCAATCCCCGTCCCGCTCTCCATGTAATTCGTGCAGCGGGTGATTGTGGACCGTTGGATCGAGATCGAGCTCGTGCCCATGGCGTAGATCCCTCCTCCGCCATAGACAGACGTGGTAGAGTCTATAGTGGAGTCTAGAACTACAGTAGACACTGTTCCGTTAAGGAAAAATCCGCCACCGTACGACGGGTCGTCGCTATAAGGGGCGTAATCCCGGGCCGATGCAGCGAAACACCCGAAAAAAGTGGAGGACTGGACAGAAAGAGAGGGAGAGGAGGCGTCGGATAAGCACCCCCCGGAGCTGCCATTGGTGCTTGTGATTTGGACGGATTTGAGTGTGAGAGTGGAGGAGGAGGAGGCGAGACCGCCGCCCAGGAAGCGAGAGGAGCACTCGGAGATGGAGGAGGAGGAGAGGGAGAGGGTGGTAGAGTAGATGGCGATTCCGCCCCCCACGCTCTCGTCCGCGTGGCATGACTGAATGTCCAGACCCGAGAGTGTTGCCTTGGACGCTGAGTGGTGGGGGGGAGGGGGAGGGGAGGTATGGGGGAGGGGGGAGCGGGGGAGAGTGAGGGAGTTGCAGGAGGGGGTATGGGTGACAATGCCGCCCCCCATGCTCTCGTCCGCATGGCATGACTGAATGTCCAGACCCGAGAGTGTTGCCTTGGATGTTGGGGTTGGGGGAAGTATGGGGGGGGAGACGGGGAGAGGGACAGGTTGCAGGATGGGGAAAGGGGTGGCAGCACAACGTTGATGCGGGAGGAGGGAGAGGGGAGGGGGAGAGGGGAGGAGGAGAGGGGAGGAGGAGAGGGGAGGAGGAGAGGGGAGAAGGAGAGGGGAGGAGGAGAGGGGAGGAGGAGAGGGAGAGGGAACAGAGGCTGACTGGAACTGGAAGGGCGGCATGAGAGAAACTCACAGAAGATGGCAATGCCGCCGCCACCACCATCGATGCCCCCTTGGGTGACCTTTGAGTCGAACACAGTCACACCCGCCATAGTCACATCCTTGGATGACGTTATGGAGACAGCGCCACCGTTCAGGTACGCGATGCAGCTCGCGAAATCGACGCTCGTTAGAGTCACCTTCTGGTTCGCCGCTTCCAAGCAACCCCCTCCGGCTTGCCTGTTCAGCCCGCTCATTACAGCGACCCCCTGTATAGTCACACTCGCCTGCGCGCACGGCACAGCAGGAGCACCACCTCCAGCAGCACCCCCGTTAGTAGCACAAACGGCGCTCAGGCAGGGCCCGTTCTTGCAGTTGATAAGAGGCTTGGATGTGATTTTACCGGGGGGCGTGGGGGAGGGGGAGGAGAGCGAGCCTGCGGCTATGGTGAGGGAGTAACCGCCGAGCGCGAGGGGCGCGGAGAGTGCGGAGAAGGAGACGGGGATGGTGCCGTTGACCAATAGGATCGTCGCTCCTTTGAGATTCGCACTGGGGTGGGGAGAAAGGGGGACGATTGAGGGAGTGGGGGAAGGGGGAGGGAAGAACGGGGAGAAGGAGATGGGGAAGATGCTGTTAAGATTTACGCTAGTGGGGGCGCGGAGGCGTGGGGAGGGAGTCGGGGGAAGGGGAAGGAGAGTGGGGTGGGGTGGGTCGGGGGGGAAAGGGGGGAGGGGAGAACGAGCAGCGGGAGGCGGGGGAGGGGGAGGAGAGGTATGGGGAGAGCTACAAGCTGCGGAAAGGTATAGTCATATGAACACGGCGCAAAGCAAGTGGTTGCTAGCGGCGAGCAACTTAGGTCAAGTCAAATCAAGGAGGGTAAGACACTCACTTGGTAAGGGCGAGGTCGAGAGAGCCTGCGAAAAACGACCGACGAGGCGAGGCGGAACCCGGCCGAATAACCCCATGGAAAAAAAAGGGGGGAAGGGGGGAGGTGGGGGAGGCGGAAAGCGGGGGGAAGTGGGGGCGAGAAGGGTGAGGCGGGGGAGAGCATGGGGAAAGGGGGGAGGGGGGGTAAGAGGAGGGTGGGAAGTGAGGCGGGAGTGTGGGAGAGGAGGGGGGAGACGGTTAGAAAGCAGGATACGACTGGAAGCAAGAGCACACGATGAGCACGGGAAGAGCAGGCGTTGACTAGCGCATTCGAGTGGACTTAGCAGACGGCCGACGACGCCACGTGCTCACTCACGAAGGTGGGATGTAAAGAACCTCGCGACTCACCGGACGGCCGCTGCGCTACAACCCCTTCCCCCTCCTACCCCCCCTCCTCGCTCCCACCCTTTCCCCCTCTCCACCCACCTCGCCTCCCCTTTTCCCCCTTCCGCCAGAGCGCCCCTCATGACTCGCCGCACGGCCTCTGCGCTACTCCCCCTCCCGTTCCTTCCCCCTTCCCCTCCACCATTCCCCCTTGCCTTCCCCCTTCCCTTCTTCCCCCTTCCCTTCATCCTTCCTCCATCCGCTTACCCTCCACGGTTTTTCCCCTTTCCGCCGTGCCTTGCTCTCACGACTCACCGCATGGCCTCTGCGCGGTTCCGCAGCAACCGGTAGCGGTGCCGGTCTCTGTCACGTACACGACGGCTTGCCGGTTACAGACTGATAAGGACACACGGGGAACGCACGGCGCAAAGAAAACGGCGGTAGACGCAGTGGATGGGAAGGGAATGGCGGAAGGCAGGCGCATTGGCGGAACGAAATGGCGGCGGAAAGAGACGACCGAGGAAAGAAACATGGCAGAAGGACGTGCAGAATGCGAAGAACACACGGAAAGGGAAGCAAGCGATGGTGCATGAACCGTGCGTGCGAAGTTGATACTTAAGTGAAAGCGACTGAGGAGGAGAGAATGAGCGGACGAGGGAAGAAACGCATTGAAAGGAAGACGGGGACCGCTTCAGCTGTTAGCCGCTTTGGAATGTGACATTTACGGTCGAAACCTGCAGGTACGAACCTGATTGCGAGCGCGTTAAGGGTGAACTCGACAACAGAACAAACGTCACAACGGCGAGGCGGAGCATTTGACTCGTCTCGAATCTCCATGAATCTAGTCTCTGGGCTCTACACGTTTTGCTTTGATGTCGGTACTTTACACTGCTAGCGGGACGACGCATCGCGACAATTGTATCGCACGACGAAATTTTCGTATCCCGGCCGTCGTCCGCGAAAGATACGCGGAGCCTCGATAGCGAGGCCGACGACTCCTGAGCTACACCTTTTTTTATTCAATATGTCACTGTAAAAACGGGTCGGAGTGGTGGCCGATGCCCTAATCGCGACAAACGCGCGGGAGAGTTAAGAACGTGATACTGCTACCGTGAGACGAGGCTATGTCGCCGCTTTGCAAATATGAGGTTTACGCATGGTGTCTTTCTGAAAGAGCTCCACGCCGAATCTAGGGACAATGCTGAGCGTGATGAGTCGAGCACAGTGAGGCCCTACACTGATTAACCGTTGGGCTTATCCAAAATGTCTCTATTCGTCCGTAACCCAATCCCGTTTTCGTGTTAAGCCTTGGACTAGGTTCGCGAGAGTCGATGACAGTCTTGGTATTGGTATCTTTACTCGCTACTTGCTAGAATCCGTTTCTCGCCAAAATGCAGGTGAGAGGATAGCAAGCATTACAACACAACCTTGCTCCAACTCATGTATCAACAGCCAGTCACACACACCCCTGCACAATTTGGTTTGGTCGTCACTCGAAACTTCGAGGATGCGTTTGGAAACAGTGATCGAAACTAGTGGAGCTCCCAAGTTGTTCCTTGGGAACACCACGAGCATCCCAGCGTTGTCACGTACATTTTTCTCGCTCTGTACGATACATCAAGTACAGAACAGCTCAGGACTACACACCTGACAGAACAACGCGGAATTGCTGCATTTGCTTTCTTCAGCCCGATTTCATGCAAATCGAAAAGGTTGACGCTTTTCGGAGTTCTGTATACAGCATACCAGGGCAGGTGGTGAAAACACGCTGGTCCCTGTTTTGACCAACACGGGCAGGGGAATGTGTCGTCCTTCTTCTGTTGGGAATGGGAACGTGGTTCGACGGGCAGCCGAGCGACGAATCGACGAGATATTATTTTCACCGTTCTCTTCACACACTCGCACACACACCACCATTCCAGTGACCCCACCCGGGACCCCTTCACCCCGCCCTCTCCACCCCCACCACTGACCCGATGGGCAGATGGGCAAATGGCGACAAACCTCGCAGTTTTGTGGGGCGCCTGAAACCGCGTTTCCATAACCAGCCCGCACTGTGCAATCTCACCAACTAACAAGACCACCTGAAGGTCCTTATCCTCGGTAACAGCTCGTCGGGATGCAGCACAACCTATAGCACCCGTTTTCTGCACGAGACCATGAATGGTACTGTAAGGAATTTTCTCGGCATTCCTTACGGAGCCCGACTACATCGCGTACAACAGCCATTGTTCGCCCGTTACTGCTAACGGGACTTCTCCAACTTCGCGCGCACTGTTTTGCCAAACCTCGCACTGCTGGCCTGGCCGTGTCGGCCTACGCTTCGGGACTAGCCCGAGCCTCGCTGCCAGCATAGCACTAGCTAGCTCGCACGCACCGCGTTACCGTTTGCATGTTTCGCGTATAAATGTTCGCTCATGCCCTCGCTCACATCTTTGTACTCGTTTGACACCTTAGTGCAATTCTCGCTACTTCGATCCATTGCACCCGTAACAGGTACCCTGCTTACACAGAGGTAACGGGTGCTCCATCCACAATGCATACACACGTTTATTCAATGCGCATGCATTGCTTCATACAAAGTGTTGAGAAGATGGGGGATACTATTTCGCTGCGAAACGACCACCACACATAGAGTAGATCGAGTGGTTCACAATAAAATTCCGTTACAATATGCCGCAGTCAGTGCATCCCCTTGCAACCCTCGTCTTTCTTCTCTCGTGTTTTCCTGCTCCTTGCGACCTCCTCTGTCTGCCGTATGACAGCATATCCATAACGAGACCTAGGCTTTTCCCCTTCCCCTACCCACATCCGAAGGCCCACGGGAGAATTACCAAACTCCGTACAACCAATAAGCGAATTCATGCCGTTCTTCTCTACCCTGATGCATGCCCCCACCCCATCTATCTACCACAGCATAGCATACCTCTTACCCGACCTACAAGCATCGCTCCCCCCAACCTCCCCATCCATAGGCCCTTAAGAAGAAGCATAGGAGGCCCTGCTTGGTTCTAGCATCTCGCTACTTTATCTTCTACCCCTTCCCCTACACCTACTCCCAACCCATCTGTCTGCCACAGCACAGCATACCTCTCCCCCTATTTAGGAGCATCGTTCTCCCCAGCCCCCCCATCCATCGGTCCATATGAGGACACAAGGAGGGGGGGCTGCTTGACTCTACCATTAAGCTACATTTTCTACTGCCCCTGCCCCTGCCCCTGCCCCTGCCCCTGCCCCTGCCCCTGCCCCTGCCCCTACCTCTACTCCCACCCCATCTGTCTGCCACAGCACAGCATACCTCTCAACTACCCCAGGAGCATCGCTCTCCCCAGGACCCCTATCCACCGGCCCGTAGGAGGACACAAGGAGAGGCGGCTGCTTGACTCTACGATTAAGCTACACTCTCTCCTGCTGCTGCCCCTCCTGCTGCATCTGCCCCTGTCCCTGCCCCTGCCCCTGCTTCTCCCATCCCGTCCGTCTGCCACAGCGCAGCATACCTTTCCCCTGACCCAGGAGCATCGCTCTCCCCAGCCCCCCCATCCATTGGGCCATAAGAGGACACAAGGAGGGGCGGCTGTTTCAGGGAACGAGCTAGCAGCTCAAAAGCACTGCGGCTGACGTCCGTTGTGAGGGTGGAGCGGGGAGGTGTTGATGGGCTGGCCCGAGCAATGTATGCATAGAAGACCTGTGAAGAAAAACGGAACAATAAGAGCAGGAGGGGAGAGAAGGAGAGGTGGGTGCTTGAGCGAGCGAGAGAGCAGGTCAATGGCGCCGCGGCTGACGTCCGTTGTGAGGGTGGAGCGGGGAGGCGAGGAGGATGCAGCCCGGGCGATGTATGCATAGAAGACCTGTCGAGGCGGGAAGAGGACACGGTAGAAGCAGGAGGTGAGGGAAAGAGGGGCGGGTGCTTGCGTTCCGAGGAGCGTCAAGAAGCTCCCCCATGCACTAGCCTAAAGGAGGAAAAAATGTCGTGTGCCATAGTAACGAGGTGACTTCTGAGTTGACTCAAAAGTCACAAAGTCACCTCTTTTGAGTCGACTCAAAAGTCACCTCAGAATTCACCTCGTTCTGAGGAGCCTCAAGGAGCTTCTCCATCCACCAGCCTATAGGAGGACACAAGGTGAGGCGCCTGCTTGAGGGAGTCAGCAGCTCAAATGCGCTGCAGCTGACATCGGTCGTGAGAGTAGAATGGGGAGGTGAGGAGGGGGCAACCCAGGCAATGTATGCATAGACGCATGTTGACAGAGGCGAGGGTGGAGGGACAAGTGGGGAAAGGCTTGAGTCCAGGAAGTGAATGCATAGAAGACCTTATACGGCAGGGGAAGATTTAACATGTGAGTCGACTGAGAGGTCAGCTCGGAACGTGGAGGAAAGGAAGGTGGCATACAGTAACCACCTCATCCTCTCATTCTCACCTGATAGCCAACGGTGTACGCCTTGAGGAAGGTGGGAACGAGGGGAGGCAGCAACTGGGTCAGCGCCTGCTGCAGCTGCGCCTGTGTCTTGGCCACCCCGCCCTGCCAGCCCCCCCTGCTGGGCGCATCGTTCCACACATCGGCCACGTATACTCTCTGAGAGGAAGGGTCTTCTGTGAACGATACACTCAAAGGAGTGTAGCCCTGCAGAATGAAGGGGGAGGGGGATTGGCATAGGTGGGAACGAGGGGAGGGAGTTTGGTATAGGTCGGAACGAGGGGAGGCAGCAGCTGAAGCAGCGTTTTTTTAGGCAACTCAAAGCCGAGACAGCGCCTGCTGCAGCTGCGCCTGTGTCTTGGCCACCCTGCCCTGCCAGCCCCCTCGGCTGGGAGCATCGTTCCACACATCCGCCACGAACACTCTTTGGGCCGAAGGGACCTCAGTAAATGACAGACTCAGAGGGGTGTAACCCTGCAAATGGGAGGAGAAGAGGGGGGGGAGAGAGGGGCGTCTTGGCCACCCTCCCCTGCCAGCCCCTCTGCTGGGAGCATCGTTCCACACATCCGCCACAAACACTCAACGGGGTGTAGCCCTGTGGAAGGGGGAAAGCAGGAAGAAAAGGAAGATGGAAGGAACAGGAGAATCGTTCCACACATCCGCCACAAACACAAGGAGGGAGGAAGGGTCCTCTGTGAGCGACACACACTCAACAGGGTGAAGCTCTGGAGCAGGGAGGGGGGAGGGGGGAGGGGGGAGGGGGGTGGGGGGAGGGGGGAGGGGAGGGTAAAATTTAGAAGCAGGCATTGAATTTCGAGACATCTCAGAACCGTCACCCGTTTCCCATCACTCTCCACAACCACTCCAACCCCTCCACCATCCCTCCTGCACCCTCCGACCATTCCCTCCACCTGTCGCTGTAACTGCGGCCACCGGGAGGAGGGCCCGCAGCAGTAGGAGGCGTCATGAGGGACGCCGAACACCGCTTCCACCCTGTAAACTCCCACCTCTCCCACCCCCCCCACTCTCCCTCCCCATCCCCACTCACCTGTCGCTGCAGCTGCAGCCATCTTGAGGAGGGCCCACAGCAGTAGGAGGAGTCGTGAGGGACGCCGAACACCGCCTCCACCCGTGTGCTGCTGCCAGCTGGCCATGCCACGTCAGCAAGGAATATGGAGGCGTAGTACAGCCCGTGGTGGTCCGCCACATAGTAGCTCTCCACCTGTTGGGGGCGGCAGATTAGTGGGCGGCAGATTAGTGGGCAGCAGAGTGGTGGGCGGCAGAGTGGTGGGCGGCAGAGTGGTGGGCGGCAGAGTGGTGGGCGGCAGAGTGGTGGGCAGCAGAGTGGTGGGCGGCAACAGAGAGGTGGGCAGCAGAGTGATTGCACCTGAGAGGGGCCTTTGTGGAGACTTCAGAGTTACCTCAAGAGTCACACAAGCATGCGCCGAAGAGATAAGCACACCTGAGCACACCTGGGCACACCTGAGCACACCTGGGCACACCTGAGCACACCTGAGCACACCTGAGCACACCTGAGCACACCTGGGCACACCTGAGCACACCTGGGCACACCTGAGCACACCTGAGCGCACCTGAGAGGGCTTATAGCCCGAGGAGATGTCATGGTGTAGGGCATCCTGATACTGCTGGCCTTTGAGGCAAGATGGATGGGTAAGATGGACATACGCTCCTGAGCGGAGTGGAGAGATACGCACCTGAGAGGGCTTGTAGCCCGAGGAGATGTAATGGCGCAGAGCATCCTGGTACTGCTGGCCGTTGAGGTTGAACACCATCACCCACCCCAACTGTTTGGGGAGCAGGTGTGCAGAGGGGTACGGGGAGGTACAGGAGGGTACAGGGGGGTACAAGGGGGCGTGCTGGTGGGTGTTGAGTCATACTGCAGAGCGTCCTGGTACTGCTGGCCGTTGAGGGGTTGGACACCATCGCCCACCCCAGCTGTCAATAGAGAACAAGGGGTACAGCGGGGTACAGGGGAGTGTGCAGGGGCGTGCAGGGGGGTGTTGAGTCATACTGCAGAGCGTCCTGGTACTGCTGGCCGTTGAGGGGTTGAACACCATTGCCCACCCCAGCTGTTGGGTGGCGGAAAGAACAGTGATGGAGGTGAGGAGAGAGGAGCAACGGGGATTGAAGGAGCATCAAAAGGACCTGAAGGGAAGCTTATATATCTAGTGAGCAAGTGATGAAAGGATATTTTGGGTGCAAGGATAGGAGCGTACGGATTTCGAGTTGGGTTGCCAGAGTATCGAGAAGAAGACGAGTGCGCGAGGGGACGCGACGGCATATGCGCTGACAAAGGCCGGCACATGGGAGCGCGTGCGCGAGGAGAGAAGAGCCGGCAAGTCGGACGACTCGACCCGTGAGTCAAGGATCGGGCCGGCGGTTAGCCAGCCGCCCGGGTATTTGCGCTCGAAGTAAGCTGGCTGTAGTAAGGAAGAGAGCGGGGGGGATGGGAGGAGCAAGCGAGTGAGGAGAGTAAAGTCGGCAGGTCGAACGAGAGTGAAGGGCGGAGAGTGTAGGGAAGCAAGAATAAGCGGGCAAACATTTACCTCAGCTCCGGAGATTTCTGGCTGCGCGCGTTCCGCAGAACTACTCGTGCGGAACTTCCGGATTCTTAGGCGACTCGGCGCGCTGTGGTTTCCCTGCGACGAAAATACCAGCGGTGTTACACGCGGTGTTACCGCACCCCCGTCGGATACGTTCCTTCGCGGAAAGTTCTCGTCACGGAATGCCCCGTCAGCGGCGGCGACGGGGCCTCCGAGGTGGAAATCCGCGCCGAACCCGCCGCGGAACGCGAGGGATGAGGACACCTGCCAAGGAAGGACCGCCGCGAGGAGCGTAAGAGAGAAGAGCGCTGCGAGAATGTTGGCGGCGCGGGAATCCATCGAAACCGGCGCGCGAGAAACGGAGCGCGAAGGGAAAAGACTAGAAACTGACCACAACGAAGGACAAAGAAGGTCGGATGATGCTTTATGAAGCAAACAAAAATCAGCTGAGGTGAAATGCTGATGCGAGGTGAATTCGGGGGGAAATTCGACGTCCTCGCCATTAGCACGCTCGACATGAGTTTGGCTCCCTATTCGAAGCACTGAAGCTACTATCATGCTTTGGAAAAGCCCCTCGGTATCCTTTCTGGAAAGAAAATAATACAAAATTGTGCTAATATGTAACCTCCTTTTCGTTTTTTTGCAAAATGTACAAAACACTATTTACAAGGATATATGCTACACCATATCATCACAATGCAATGCATCTAATGCTTTTCAAACCTTATACCTCTGCTTTGCCCTTTTCCCCAAGCTCCCCTCTTGTGTCTACCTTCCTTCCACATTTTCCACTCCCTCAACTGCCCACCTTCCCATGCTCCCCTCCCCTCCAACCTCCCCCCAACCCCATCAGTCTGCCACAGCACAGTGTATCTTTCCCATGATCCCCTCTCCCCCACCACCCCAACATCATCAGTTGCGCTTTTCCCTTGCTCCCCACACTTGGGCGGCACAAACTAGGCGACAAACAGGGGGGGGGTGCTGGAGGGAGCGAGCGAGCACCATCAGCAACTCCCCCCTCCCCCCCCCTCCCCCCCCCGAATATCACTCTTGCCACAGAACAGTGTATCGTTCTGTTGCGCTTTTCCCCTGCTCCCCGCACTTGGGCGGCACGAAAGAAGCGACAAACAAGGGCGGGTACCTGAGGGAGCGAGCGAGTAGCTCGAAGCCACTACGGCTGATGTCAGCAGTGAGGGTGAGGTGGGGAGCAGAAGCGGAGGGCGGGCGGGCCACATATGCATAGAAGACCTGCTTGGGAGGAAGAGAAGGGAAAGAGGGGTAGAAGAGGCGGATTCAGACAAGCTATGAACATCGCATCTCATCCAGTGCGCCTCAGCATGTCCATAGCAAGCTCTGAGGGGAAGAGAGGTGAAACTCTCACCTTCTCCCCTTCTCACACTCTCACCCTCTCACACTCTCACCTTCTCCCCTTCTCACACTCTCACCCTCTCACACTCTCACCTTCTCACCTGCTAGCTCTGTCACTCCCATCCTCTCCTGCAATTTTAACCCTCTCATCCCCACCTGCATCCCAACCGTGTACGCCTTGAGGAAGGTGGGAACCAGGGGAGGCGGCAACTGCGCCAGTGCCTGCTGTAGCTCTGCCTCTGTCATTGCAACTCCGCCCAGCCACCTGGGAGTAAACAGGGAAAGGGAAACAGGGGGCCTTATGATTAGGCTCAAGAAAAGCAGCTGCACTAGAGCCTGCTACACTCTGTTACAGATATTGCCTTTTGAGTGTGAGAGAAGTAACAGCCACACTCACCCGCCAGACGAGGGAGGGCTGCTCCACACGTCCGCCACATACACGGTGAGAGCAGCCGGGTCCTCTGTGAGGGATACGCTGAGGGGGCTGAATCCCTGTGGGAGGTGAGGGGAAGATGAGAGGGGACGAGGAGATGCAAAGAGGGGAAATAAGGGAAGTTCTTGAGTTCACGGATAGACCGTGAGAGCAGCTGGGTCCTCTGTGAGAGATACGCTGAGGGGGCTGAAGCCTTGTGGGTGATACAGGGAAGGTGAAGTGAGGTGGAGTCAGCACTCTATTCCCTGAAAGCACTCCCCACCCAGTCTTCCTCCCACACCTGCCGCTGCAGCCGCCACCACCCCGATGTGGGACCACAGCAGTAGCTCGTGTCGTGTGGCTGCTCCCCATGCCCTCTTTACCGTCCTTGTTGACCAAATACCTTTACCTCTCTGCTGCATACACCCACCCCACCCCCCCCCCTCCCTCCCACACCCACCTGTCGCTGCAGGCGCCACCACCGGGAGGTGGGACCACAGCAGTAGCTCGCGTCGTGCGGCATGCCAAACGCCGCCTCCACCCACATGGAGCTGCCAGCTGGCCACGCCACGTCAGCAAGGAAGATGGCAGAGTAGTAGATCTCGTGGTAGTACGGCCTCACGTCGTCCGACACGTAGTAGCTCTCCACCTGAATTCCGGGCGGCAGGGATGGGCGGCAGGATGGGTGACAGAGATGCACGGCAAGGAAGAAGGCAGCACATTATGAGCAGAGCTCTTGGTAGTACGGCATGAGCTGCTGACTTTTGGGTGGAACCAGAATTCAACCAGATGGCGGCGCAATGAAGCCTAGGCTCCAGATGGATTAGAGCTCGTGGTAGTACGGCCTCACCTCGTCCGCCACGTAGTAGCTCTCCACCTGCACACCGGGTGGCACAGTGGTGGGCGACAGAGATGGGCGGCAGAGATGGGCGGCAGGGATGGGCGGCAGGGTGGGTAGCAGGAGTGGCCGGCAGGTATCAATGATGGGCGGCATGGGCGGCAGTGGCAACAAGGGTGATGATGAGACCGCGTGCGAGTTGACTTTTGAGTCGACTCAAAAGTCAAGTCGACTCAAAAGTCAAGTCGACTCAAAAGTCAAGTCGACTCAAAAGTCAAGTCGACTCAAAAGTCAAGTCGACTCAAAAGTCAAGTCGACTCAAAAGTAAAGTCGACTCAAAAGTCAAGTCGACTCAAAAGTCAACGCAGTGGCAACAAGCGTGATGATGAGACAGCGTGCTAGTTGACTTTTGAGTCAACTCAGTGGCAACAAGGGTGATGATGAGACGGCGTGCTAGCGAGTTGAAAACACTAACCCAGCCGTGTCATTGATGTAAGAGAACTTTTGAGACGTCTCTAAAAACACTAACCCAGCCGTGTCATTGATGTAAGAGAACTTTTGAGACGTCTCTAAAAACACTAACCCAGCCGTGTCATTGATGTAAGAGAACTTTTGAGACGTCTCTAAAAACACTAACCCAGCCGTGTCATTGATGTAAGAGAACTTTTGAGACGTCTCTAAAAACACTAACCCAGCCGTGTCATTGATGTAAGAGAACTTTTGAGACGTCTCTAAAAACACTAACCCAGCCGTGTCATTGATGTAAGAGAACTTTTGAGACGTCTCTAAAAACACTAACCCAGCCGTGTCATTGATGTAAGAGAACTTTTGAGACGTCTCTAAAAACACTAACCCAGCCGTGTCATTGATGTAAGAGAAAGTGACGCACCCCCCCCTCATTGTGCACCTGTGCAGGTTTAAAGCCCGAGGCGATCCGACGGTGCAGAGAATCTTGGAACATTTGACCGTCGAGATTGAACACCACCACCCAGCCGACCTGTTGAGAGCAAAAGGAGCGGGAGGGGATAAAGGAGGGACGGAGGGAGAGAGGGAGAATACGGGAGCAAGAGAAGATCAGAGGAGAGACGTTTGCCAAAGGAGGCTGCGAGGAAGATCAAAACGGGAGGAGACGAGCATACATGGAAAGATACTGTTAAAGGATTGAAGGAGCTTACGGATTTGGAGTTGGGTTGCCAGAGGATGGAGAAGTAAACAAGCGGGCGAGGGGACGCGACGGCGTATGCGGTGATGAAGGCCGGCATGTGGTTGCGCTCTCGCGAGGAGATTAAAGCCGGCAGGTCGGACGCCTCGACGCGCGAGTCGAGGATAGCGCCATACGTGAACCAGCCGCCAGGATATGAACGCTCGAAATAATCTGTATGCGGGGAAGAGATACCGGGGCGCATCGATGGGAGAAAAAGAGGAAAAAATATTTTGTAAAAATATAAAGAACGAGAACGGGATTTCCTGGATGCGACGCGAGTTCAACCCACCGGAGCTTCGTCACTTTCTTGTGTAACGCTTTGCGAGCGCGAATTCGACGCGCTGGGACTTCCTGTAAACGAAAACTCATGCGGTTCCATGCCGAGCTTGCCGCGTCGCACGAGAGCTGCCTTCTTCTCTCGGCGCGGCGCCTCTCTCGTAAATGAGAACTCAAGCGGTTCCATGCGGCCTCGCGCGGAACCGCGAATAGACTCTTCTCTGCTTGTACTGTTCTCGCCGCGACGCGAGATTCCGTGTTGGGTGAAAAGAGATTCTGCGCCCCATCCGCCGCGAAACGCGGGGGCAGATGATACACTTCGAGGAAGGGCCGCGACGAGAAGTGTTAGCGGCAAAAATACTAGAACGCAGGCAGAGTGTAAATTCATCTGAGACAGGTATCTTGGGAGCGCACGGCTCACGCCTTCAGGCTAGGAACTCTTCGGACTACGGCGGAGAAGCTGCGGAGAGGGTGTGAAATGTGAAAAATGGGGGCGATATTTGGATGGATGTGAATTTGCAGAAAATGCAAACACTCGAGACAAACAGACAATGTGAAAGAGATAGGGAGCTACACTGTATATTAGTTGGATGGCTAAGATTTAACAATAGCGGTAGTGGTGAGTTACAAAAAGGCAACACCTCTAACATCCCAAGGCACCAAACCATCCGCTTTCAAAGCTTTATCCAATCATTGTCTGACATATCCCTGCCGAAGCGGGGTACTCGGCTCGTACGTAAGTTGAGGAGGTGCTTGCATGCCTGACATAATCCGATATTGAACTACGGTAGTAGAATATACAAGGAATTATATACAAGGTCAGTTACATGTTACAAAGAATTCTTCTACAACTTGTGCAGTAATGCTCTCTATACTTGTGCTATGCGACTTTCACCCAACTTCCCGTCTGGCATTGTCCTTCCTTCCACCTCCTCTCCCTCCACCTCCCATACTCCTAAACCCCCCTCTCCTCCAACCCCCCCCCCCCAACACCATCAGTCTGCCACAGAACAGTGTACCTTTCCCTGGCACTTTTCCCATGGCCCTCGAACTTGGGGGGCAGGAACGAAGCGACAAGGAGAGGGGGGTGCTTGAGGGAGAGAGCCAGCAGCTCAAAGCCGCTGCGGCTGATGTCGGGAGTGAGGATGCGGTGGGGGGCGGTGGGGGAGGTGGGGGGCCGGGCAACGTACGCATAGAAGACCTGCTCGGGAGGGGAGGAAGGGAGGGGAGAGGGGGGTGCTTGAGGGAGAGAGCCAGCAGCTCAAAGCCACTGCGGCTGATGTCGGGAGTGAGGATGCGGTGGGGAGCGGTGGGGAGCGGTGGGGAGCGGTGGGGAGCGGTGGGAGGGCGGGCCACGTACGCATAGAAGACCTGCTTGGTAGGGGGAGGAGGATGAGAGGGGAGGCAGGGAGAAGAGGTGAAGGGGCAAGAAGAGTGTGTTACGCTGCGGCCGATGTTGGGCATGAGGATGTGGTGGGGAGTGGAGGGGGGGAGTGGAGGGGGCGGGCTAGATATGCATAGAAGACCTGCTTGAGGGGGGAAGGTGAGGTAGAGCGAGAGCAGAATGTTATTCATTATATGGTATCGGGTACTACAGTGTACCACAGTGTACCGCAGTGTACCGCAGTGTACCGCAGTGTACTGCAGTGTACCGCAGTGTGCTGCGGTGAACCCCAGTGTACCGCATTGAACCGCAATGTGCCTCTCCTCCCCTCATCCCCCCATCCTCACCTTCAGCCCAACAGTGTACGCCTTGAGGTAGGTGGGAACTAGGGGATGCGGCAACTGCGCCAGTTCCTGCTGCAACTGCTCCTCCGTCCTCGCCACCCCGGTGTGCCATCTAGGGAGTGAAGAACACAAGGGGAGGGCAAAAGGGGGCAGAGGGTAAGTCTTGAGTCGACTCAAAGTCGTCGAGTCACCAGGCAGTCGGCAGCTGGGAGTACAGAGGAACTCAGGGGGGAGGGGAAAACAACGCTCGACACTCGACATGCTCCTGCATAGTGATGTCCTTTGAGATGCCTCACGGAGATGGCTTTTGAGGCGCCTCATAAGTCAGACTCACCCAGCGGGGGTGGGGGCGTTGCTCCACACGTCCGCCACATAGACGGTGAGGGCAATGGGGTCCTCTGTGAGGGCGATGCTCAGAGGGCTGAAACCCTGTGGGGGAGGCAAGGAAGATGCGAAGAGATGAGGGGAGCTGAGGGAGAATAGCTGAGTTGACTCGAGTCAAAGGACATAGACGGTGAGGGCAATGGGGTTCTCTGTGAGAGAGATGCTGAGGGGACTGAAACTGTGTAGGGGTTGAAGGGAGAGAGCAAGGAAGCAGTGGGAAAGGAATACTGCCTAGCGTTCCGTAAGGTGAAATGAGGTGAGGTGAGGTGAGGTGAGGTGAAGTGAGGTGAGGTAAGAGGGGTCTCAAAAACCCCTATCTGACACCCTCTTCAAACCCTCTCTAAACCCTCTACAGCCCATCTGCCCGCCACACCTGTCGCTGCAGCCGCCACCATCTGGAGGCGGGGCCACAGCAGTAGCTCTTGTCGTGTGGCATGCCGAATGCTGCCTCCACCCGTGTGTCGCTGCCAGCTGGCCATGCCATGTCAGCAAGGAAGAAGGCTGCGTAGTAGATCTCGTGGTAGTACGGCCTGCCCTCGTCCGACACGTAGTAGCTCTCCACCTGGACCGGGCGGTAGGGATGGGCGGCAGGGATGGGCCGGATGGTCGGCAGGTGTCGATGACACGACGCCGGCGCTGAGACATAAGAAAATGCCAGCATCATGGACAATCAAATTACAACGTAACACTGCACTAAATGGTGACGCACCCCCATCCTTTGTGCACCTGCACAGGCTTAAAGCCCGACGCGATCTGACGGTGGAGAGCATCTTGGAACATTGGACCGTCGAGATTGAATAGCACCGCCCAGCCAAACTGTCGATAGCAAGAGGGGGAGAGAGAGGCAGGACGTGAGGGAGAGAAGGTCAGAGGAGAAGCGTTGGAGTAGAAGTCCGCGAGGCAAGATGAAAAGGGGAGGAGAAAAGCTTTCCATACATACATGGAAAGCTGTGAGCGAGTAGAAAGAGCTTACGGATTTGGAGTTGGGTTGCCAGAGGATGGAGAAGAAGACGAGCGGGCGAGGGGACGTGACGGCGTACGCGCTTATGAAAGCCGGCGCGTGGGTGCCCGTGCGCGAGGAGATTAAAGACGGCAGATCGGACGCTTCTACGCGCGAGTCGAAAATAGCTCCGTAGGTGAACCAGCCTCCAGGGTAGGAGCGTTCGAAATAATCTGGCTGTAAGGAAGATATATTGGGACACACAGGCAGAAAAAGGAAGAAACGGAAAGCAAATGAAACTTAAAAGGACAAGTTAGTAATTTTTTGGATGCGACATGCGACGCGACGCGAGTCCACCCACCGGAGCTCCGTCTCTCTCGTGCGCAGTGCGTTGCGCACGTGAATTCGACGCGGTGGGCCTTCCCGTAAACGAGAACTCAAGAGGTTCCAGGCGGCCTCGCACGCAACCGCTTGAATAAGCGTCTCTTATCGTACGGTTCTCGACGCGACGCGAGATTCCGTGCTGGGTCAAGAAAGTTTTTGCGCCCCATCCGCCGCGGAACGCGGAGGCAGATGACACGCTTCGAGGAAGGGTCACGACGAGCAGAGTTAGCGGCAGAAACACTACAGCGCAGGCAGAGAGTAAATTCATAGGAGACGGGTATATCGGGAGTGCGAACATAAATGACAGCTCACGCCTTACAGGCTAGGAACTTCTCAAATATGGCGCAGAACCGCTGAGACGACGAAAAATGGGCGCAAATTTGGGTGAAAGTGGATTTGTAGCAAATGAAAAAAAACGCGATAATAGCAGTCACCGTACAACAATGTAAAATGTTGCTACATTTTCTATAAGCTGGATGGTTAACATCTAGCCAGGAGTGGCATGACTTTGAAGGGGTGGCACTGTTCTGGTTGGCGACTGTTGGGCATGTTGGAGTAGCAGTGATGTCTGTCGTTGACTCGTTGGCGAAATTCGTGCACGCTAGCATCTTCCAAAGAGGCTTGTCAGGAATCCTTTCTCGCTAATCGCAGACATCGCACGTCGCTAGTCCCGACGGAGAAATCACTCTGACCCCCAACCACGTCAGCAGCACATCACAAACATCACTCGAAAAACCCAAGGCACCGAACCACCCGCTTTCACATCTGTAGCCAATCATAGTTCGAAATACACCTGCCGAAGCAGGGTCCTCGGCTCGTACGTGAGATGGGGTGGTGAGGAGCTTGCATTACGTCCGCCGTGCTTGGCGCTCATGTAGAGAATCGAGTTTCAGCGAGGCTCCGCGCCGCCTCTGTGCCAGCGTCGACATTTCCAGTTTCGGAATAGCCAATGAGTTCCGAGCCGCTTCTCCCGTGCGAAATGTAGCCGAATTTCTCTGCACCAGCCCCCTTCTCCCTTCTAACCCCCTCCTTTCCCAATGTACAAGCTGGCTGGGGTTACGCTGCTCAGAATCTTGATCAGACTGTCGAGTCAAACGATAAGGCAGACATAAACTGTTTTGAGTTGTCAGGGTATCAAGGCAGTTTGATCAAAGCAGTCGACAAGAACAGTCACCATACTATAGTCTACGAATCTCGCGCAAACATTACGCAGGCTAGCGCCGAAAATCAAAATCCATACCACATTCAGTCGGTGTCAGGTACGCCAGCCATTTTACCGCTTGCGTGCGAGACAATAGATTCTCAGCGGACGCAAGTCTCTGCCTTCAATTAGTGACATAACACAGGGCACAGAACGTTACGAGCTCACGGTTGAAAATCCCGACTATCGACTAACAAGTCGCGCACCAACGACTCGTCCAAAGCTCCTAATCGCACTCAGCGCTAGCTCCTTACCGTAACCACTTCTCTCCGTCACTTACCCTCATCACCAGCGCTAGACCCTTACCGCCTGCGGCGCTCGTTTTATCTTACAGTCGTGCGCTCAATAACGAGTATCTTCGTTAAAGGAAGTTCTCCGTAACACATTTGAGAATTCTCAAACATCCGCTATGGCTATGTATGCGGCGAATCTCTGCCTCCTGCCGCCCTTCCTCGCCCTGCCGTCACTCCTACAGCACCGCTCCGCCACCCTCGCCCACCTCCGCGACGGCGACGACGGTGACGGCGCCGGCGACGAAACGTGTCGCACGAGCGACGGAAGCCGCTGCGACGAGTCCGGCGCGCATGTATGGATTACAAACCCCCTGACAAATCCCCTGAAGAATCCCCTGATGATGCCGATGCTGGAGCGAGAACCGTCCATGACTCACACGATCGAGTGCCTGCACGTGCATGGGACGGCTGAGAGGAAGGGCCGGCGAGTGCGGTGGGGTGACGAGGCGGGGTTGTCGCTTACGGCTATTCGAGAGTACGAGCCAAGGTGCGTGGTGTAACTCGGTTACTCATGAGTTGACTCAAAAAGGTGTGTGGTATCTATTGTGACTCCGAAAACACGTGGTAACTCCCATTGTGGATGCCCAAGTGTGTGGCAACTCTGGTAACTCCCAAGATTCTTAACATCCCTCCACCACCCACCTCCACCCCCTCCCCCCCCCTTCTCCTCCCCTCCTCCTCCCCCCCCCCCCCAAAATCCCCACGCCCCTCCTCCCTTTTCCCCCCTCCCCTCTTGCCCATCTGCAAACTTGTATGAATGCAGCGAGACGAGACATCCGGATGACCTGGCGTGGTGGGAGATGGAGGACGACGATGATGACGTGTGCAGCTGCGCCATGCAGTGACGGCGGAGCTGCGCCGAGGGTGGAGCTGTGCCGACGGCGGAGCTGCGCCATGCAGTGAGGGCGGAACTGTGCCGAGGGCGAGTTGACTTTTGAGTCGACTCAAAAGTCAACGAGGGCGGAGCTGCGCTGAGGCCGAAATTGCGACGAAGGCGAGGCAATGCCCTAAGCGGAGCTGCACCATGCATTGGGGCCGGAGCCGTGCGTTGTGCCCTGCGGGTTGTCGTTCAGAGCGGATAAACAGGTTCTAAACAATAGACTGCACTTAATATACTGTTACAACTGTGCATTAAGCAAAGCATGAGGTGTGCATTATGCACTCAATACATTCACACTGCACGCGCCTTGACTACTCTTGGCGAATGGAGTGTAATAATGGTATACTGAGCACGTTGGCTCAAATATCTTAGATCTGCTGTGGGTATTCTCTGACAAGAAGTGGTTTATGAAGTAGGATAATTCTCATCCTGGAACCTATGTGATTCAGGCCTTGCCAATAAAGTAGCTGGTGGTGTATATCGCTCTGAAGATTGTAGCAACTGACTTGGAGTGTACAATTTTGTTAGAAAAAGTTCTCTTGCATTGAGACACTCAGTGTCAGGTGCTTTTCACCCTATGTTCAAACAATCCTAGCACCGTCGCTTATATCACACACCACCACCATGCTATCTTTCTGACACGCTGCAGCCAGCTCAGGCTGTCTCCGCGAATACTCTTCCGCCACGTGGCGCGCCACATCAGCAACCTTCTCTCGCTCCACGAGCGCCACACAGCACCCCCTAAAGCCTGCACCACTGAACCTGGCCCCGAGCACACCCGGTGTGGCCAGGAGTATGGATCGGAGCTCTATGAGGGGCGGGCTGCCTGTGGTTGAAAAGGATGAGAGGGACGGAGGGATGGGAGTGGTGGGAGAGAGGGAAGAGGGGAGAGAGGAGAGAGAAAGATGAGGATTGAGCAGAGCTCTATGAGGGGTGGGCTGCCTGTGGAGGCAGGAGGATTGAGCAGAACTCTATGAGGGGTTTATTGCAACTTAGCGCAACGTAGCGCCCTGCTGCAACTTAGCACCCTGCTGCAGCACCTCAGGTCCCTGCAGCATTCCACCCACACTGACCGCACTCCACCCGCCAGCACCGCACCCCACCTCACACTAACCGCACTCCACCCACCAGCACCACACCCCCACCCCACACTGACCGCACTCATAGAGGTCGATGGAGCTCTGCCCCGACTCCGACATCAGGCGCCCAAACAGCTGCCAGTCGCCTTGCTGCAGAGCCTCAGCGCCCTGCAGCACTCGCGCGCTCTCTGAGAAGAAGTGTGTTGTGCGGCGGCGCAGCGCCTCAGGTAGGTGGTCCTGCCAGTGGCAAGGCAGAGGGAAGGAAGTGACATATGAGCCAACTAAAAGAAGTCGCTCTCTGAGAAGAAGTGTGCGGCGCGGCGGCACAGTGCCTCAGGTAGATGGTGCCTCTGGTAGATGGTGCCTCCGGTAGATGGTGCTGCCAGTGGCAAGGCAGAGGGAAGGAAGTGACATATGAGTCGACTAAAAGAAGTCGCTCTCTGAGAAGAAGTGTGCGGCGCGGCGACACAGCGCCTCCGGTAGATGGTGCTGCCAGAGGCGACAAGAAAAGAGAAGGAAGGAATGAAGCCTCCTCCCATGTGGCTCTTAAGGACGTGGATAAGAATCGCAAAAGTATTTTCCGGAAGTGCTCAAAGGCGACTGAGAATGAGGAAGAAAGGATCAGTGTTATCACCTTGTGGACCTCCAAGACGAGGTGACTTTCGAGTCGACTCAAAAGTCAAGGCGACTGAGAATCAGGAAGAAATGATCAATATTATTACCTTGTGGGCCTCCAAGACGTGAAGAGGCACTGCAAGAGGAGGACGAGAAGACACAGGTCATGTCAGTGACACACGGGTAAGAAGAAACCAGCACACGGAGTTTGAGACTTTTGAGACGTCTCAAAACACGCGGGTAAGAAGAAACCAGCACACGGAGTTTGAGACGCCTCAAAACCGTCAGGCACACGTGTACGAAAACAGCAAGTGGAATAGTTTTGCGGCGCCTTAAAAAGACGACTTTTGAGGCCTCAAAAGACACACGGGTAAGAAACCAGCACACGGAGTTTGAGACGCCTCAAAGCTGTCAGGCACACGTGTATGAAAACAGCAAGTGGAATAGACGATACTGCAGTCACGTCTGCCACAAGGCTCAAAACACAGTCACGTCTGCCACAAGGCTCAAATGTGCCAAACCCGCGCCGCTCGATATATTTAACCAGGCCTAACCCTACCCGCCTCATGCCACAGACCTTGCCATATGGGACAGGTCATTCCAGGTGCGTAGAAAAAGGCCGACTTTTGAGTCGACTCAAAAAGGTGACTTTTGAGGTGACTTTTAAGTCGACTCAAAAGTCGCCTCATGCCACAGACCTTGCCATATGGGACAGGTCATTCAAGGTGCGTAGAAAAAAGCCCCTCCCCCCCCCCTTTCCTCACGACTCTCAGACCTTGCGAAAGAACAGGAGCGGAGGGCACGTGAAGTCCCACGCTACTCAATATGTACAACCCAGCCCACCTCATGCCTCACACCCTGCCATCACACCCTGCCTCGAAAAGAAGGCCCCCCTTTCCTCACGACTCTCAGACCTTGCGATAAAACAGGAGAAGTGGGCACATCCAGTCCTGCTTTTGAGGCGCCTCGTAAAAAGGCGCCTCGAAAAGAAAGCCCCCCCCCCCCCCTTTCCTCACGACTCTCAGACCTTGCGAAAGAACAGGAGCGGAGGGCACATCCAGTCCTGCTGCAACGAGAAGCATCCTGGCAGCTTCCTGGCACTCCTGCACACGGTTGTTGTAGCCCGAGGAGGAAGCGAGGGCCGCCTGCATGCCTGAGAAGGCCAAGATGAAGGCGACTGTGGGGAGGGGAGCTGGGAGGTACACGGTAGGGGGAAAGGGAAGGCGATTTTTTAGCAGACTGAAAAGGCACCTCTGGTAGTAGTAGCCCGAGGAGGAAGTGAGGGCCGCCTGCATGCCTGAGAAGGCCAAGATGAAGGCGACTGGGGGAAGGGGGTCTGGGAGGTGCATGGAAGGGGGGAAGGGAAGGCGTTTCTGTGGCAAGCCTAAAAAACACATCCACTTGTTGTAGCCCGAGGAGGAAGTGAGGGCCGCCTGCATGCCTGAGAAGGCCAGCATGAAGGCGACTGTGGGAAGGGGGTCTGGGAGGCACAGGGGAGGGATGGAGAGAAAGAGAGAAGGTGATGAGTGGAGTAAAACCCAGGATGAAGTCAGATGAAAGAGGTAATTGATCACCTCGGATTGTTGCAGCCCGACGATTGAACGATAGCCGCCTGCATGCCTGAGACAGCCAAGATGAAGGCGACTGGGGGAAGGGGGTCTGGGAGGCACAGGGGAGGGGAGGAGAGAAAGAGAGAAGGTGATGAGTGGAGTAAAACCCAGGATGAAGTCAGATGAAAGAGGTAATTGATCACCTCGGATTGTTGCAGCCCGACGATTGAACGATAGCCGCCTGCATGCCTGAGACAGCCAAGATGAAGGCGACTGGGGGAAGGGGGTCTGGGAGGCACAGGGGAGGGGAGGATGCCTCGTTTGATTCATCAGCACCCTGCTTATTGAAGTCAGATGGTGATTCGTTAGGGCATGCGTGTATCACTTCTGAAGAATCTCACAACCTGAGCGTACAAGGATACTGACTGACTCATACGCACCTTGTTCATTGGGGTCAGATGGTGTCCCCGCAGGGAGTGGAATGAAGTCGTGTCGACGATCCTGAGGAAGAGGGGATTGGAATTCGGGAGAGGGACAAGCAAGGAGAGGGACAAGCGAGGAGAGGGACAAGCAAGGAGAGGGACAACCAAGGAGAGGTGGTCAGGCTGTCCAAGGATCAAGATTTGCTGCTACCCCCGACATGTTTTTTGAGAATTCTCAAAAAACACGCTCGGGAGTAGCAGGATCAAGATTTGCTGCTACCCCCGACATGAATCTTTGATCCTTGAATTTGGGACAACCAAGGAGAGGTGGTCAGGCTGTCATGCATTTAGGAATGAGGCGCAGTGTGAAAGGAGGGGCAGGTGTAGTGTCGGATGGGAGACAGAGAGGGAACTGGAAGCAACAGTGGATGATCGTGGGGAGCATAAAGAACGGAAAAGTGCGGTTCTGTTAGGTGATTCAGCTGACCTGGCACCAGATGCGAGTGAGGTGGCCGGATTTTGAAAGGACGATTGCTGATTGGTCCAACACTCCGTTCCTCAAACCAAGGAAACCGTTCTCTATAAGCCTGAGAGAAGTATGCAAGAGGAGCGAATGGAGGGAGAGAGGATTGCAGCAGGATGGAAAGGCAGAGGAGGAGACCAAGGGAATCGTTTTTGAACTGAGCCTGATGGCAGAATGCAAGAGGAATGCCTCTAAGAGTCACCTTGACTCATTCAACCACTGCAGCCCTTCGAACATGAGTCAAGGTGGCCTGACGGCAGAATGCAAGAGGAATGCCTCTAAGAGTCACCTTGACTCATTCAACCACTGCAGCCCTTCGAACATGAGTCAAGGTGGCCTGACGGCAGAATGCAAGAGGAATGCCTCTAAGAGTCACCTTGACTCATTCAACCACTGCAGCCCTTCGAACATGAGTCAAGGTGGCCTGACGGCAGAATGCAAGAGGAATGCCTCTAAGAGTCACCTTGACTCATTCAACCACTGCAGCCCTTCGAACATGAGTCAAGGTGGCCTGACGGCAGAATGCAAGAGGAATGCCTCTAAGAGTCACCTTGACTCATTCAACCACTGCAGCCCTTCGAACATGAGTCAAGGTGGCCTGACGGCAGAATGCAAGAGGAATGCCTCTAAGAGTCACCTTGACTCATTCAACCACTGCAGCCCTTCGAACATGAGTCAAGGTGGCCTGACGGCAGAATGCAAGAGGAATGCCTCTAAGAGTCACCTTGACTCATTCAACCACTGCAGCCCTTCGAACATGAGTCAAGGTGGCCTGACGGCAGAATGCAAGAGGAATGCCTCTAAGAGTCACCTTGACTCATTCAACCACTGCAGCCCTTCGAACATGAGTCAAGGTGGCCTGACGGCAGAATGCAAGAGGAATGCCTCTAAGAGGAAGACAACGAATGAATGAAAGATCACAGCAACTGAAACAAAGGTAGACGAATTGCATGAGGATTGGAGGTGGCATGGAGGAAGAGTCGGAGATAAAGAGTAAGCACTGCATGCAAGCGAGGCAGCCAAAAGAGGTGATTGGAATAAGGTGCAGAGCGGTGCAATGAGGTGTACCTGTCCAGCTCAATGAGCTCCGCTGGAGAGAGCGAAAGGTTGTTGGCATCGGCGAGGGCCAATAGGAATGCGACACCTGTCTGCCTGTGCAGATGGCATGGCACAGCGGAAGAGATAGGAGCCAAGGTTGAACAAGACGATTTCAAACCCATGAGACATGGGTAAATCTCACAAAGCATGTAAGGGCGTTGCAAGTGGATGGAGATAAACCCAGGAGCAGCGAGGTTAGGCAAAGCAGCGGGGTTATGGTTGCGGGGTTATGGTGCGACGATTTCAACGCAGCGAGGTTAAGGTTGCGGAATGCAGGGAAAATAGACAGGGGTGGGCGCATAGGTTATATCTTCGAGGCGCCTAAAGAAAAGGTGAACGTATTGCAAGGTGCATGGGTATATCCTACAGCAGCAGAGGAGCTAACGCCAGCACTGTCCATTCCTGGCTGCCCGCACATCACTCCCACCACTCCCTGCCATGGATTGGCAAGGTGGAGGCAGCAAAGGAGAGGAGGAGAGAGCAGCATATGTCAAGCGTTGGAGGAGGCACAGAGGAAGCTGGGCTGTCAATGCTATATAGCGCAGCACACTCACCGTGTCCTGCTGCCCGCACAGCACCCGAACCACTCCATGCCATGAGATGGCAAGGTGCAGGCATGGCGGAGGAGGGAGCATAGCTGCATAGGCATGTATGTCAATCATCAGAGGAGGCACAGCTCAGGGGAGGTTGAGACCTAAATGCTCTCGACTTTTGAATCGGCTGAAGCGTCATCGGAGCATCTTTTTGAGACGTTTCAAAAATAACCTTGCTCCATGTGGACAAGATGCTCCGATGAAATGAGCATCTTGTCCACATGACGTTTCAGCCATCCACCCACCCGTTCCACTTTGAGGCTTTGAGACGTCTCAAAGCCACCCTTCTTTCACGCCACTTTGTGCCCTGCTTATAGCAGTGTGGGTGGACATCCCCCCTTCCCCCCTCTCCCCCTACAACCCCATCCCCCCCCCCCTTACCTCCCTCCACCACCATCCCCCTTCCCCCCATACGCCATCCATTATCCATCCTGCCAACCCCATCACACCCACCTGTTCCAGTCTGTGCCCTGCCTCTAGCAGCGCCCACACTGCCCCTCGGCTTTTGAGACGTCTCAAAGCCCGCCCACCCACCTGTTCCACTTTGTGCCCTGCCTCTAGCAGCGCCCACACTGCTCCTCGGCCAAAGTTGCCCCAGCACTGCTCCTCCTCTGCTTCGCCTCCTCCTTCCTTCCTTTCCTTCTCTTCCGCGCCTCCATGACGATTGTTTGGCTGCTTCTGTCTCTTCACCGGCCTTGCTTGTGTGCTGCACACATGCCACCACATGCACAGTCATACAGTCACCATGCAATCGCAGACGTGATAACTAGATCGTTTTGGCAGACGTCTCGGAACAGACGTCTCGGAACAGGCGTCTCGGAACAGACGTCTCGGAACAGACGTCTCGGAACAGACGTCTCGGAACAGACGTCTCGGAACAGACGTCTCGGAACAAACGTCTTGGAACAAACGTCTCGGAACAAACGTCTCGGAACAGACGTCTCGGAACAGACGTCTCGGAACAGACGTCTCGGAACAGACGTCTCGGAACAGACGTCTCGGAACAGACGTCTCGGAACAGACGTCTCGGAACAGACGTCTCGGAACAGACGTCTCGGAACAAACGTCTCGGAACAAACGTCTCGGAACAAACGTCTCGGAACAAACGTCTCGGAACAAACGTCTCGGAACAAACGTCTCGGAACAAACGTCTCGGAACAAACGTCTCGGAACAAACGTCTCACGCCTGGCTGCTTCTCTCCCTTCACCGGCCGGCCTTGCTTGTGTGCTGCCCACACATGCCGTTGTGCCATGCCGTGCACATTGTGACAATGACAATCAATGGATGGACATGAGATGAGATGCATCCCTGAAAACACGAGCTGAGCCGAGAATTTCACTTCACAGTGCTTCTGAGCTGCAGTGACACGACATGGCAGTAAGTTGACCTAGAGATGCGCGACGAATTGAGCTGAACCCACATGAAGGAGAATCGCACGGTGCCTCTGAACTGGAGAGACGCGACAACAACCTGCCAGCGCACAGGTAGGAATTGAGGCAAAGTTCTGGTCAGGATTTTGAGGCGCCTCAAAAGTCAGGTAGGAATTGAGGCAAAGTTCCGGTCAGGATTTTGAGGCGCCTCAAAAGTCAGGCAGGAATTGAGGCAAAGTTCCGGTCAGGATTTTGAGGCGCCTCAAAAGTCAGGCAGGAATTGAGGCAAAGTTCCGGTCAGAATGCAGTGAATGCAGAGAAAGGAGAGGAGGTTGACTGATGAACCCATGCAAGAAGGCGAATGGGTGTGGGTGTGAACCAAGAGGTGAGAGGTGGCTTTTGAGTCGACTCAAAAGCCAGCTCGAATGAAGTGAATGCAGAGAAAGGAGAAGTTGACTGATGAACCCATGCAAGAAGGCGAATGGGTGTGGGTGTGAACCAAGAGGTGAGAGGTGGCTTTTGAGTCGACTCAAAAGCCACCTCGAATGCAGTGAATGCAGAGAAAGGAGAAGTTGACTGATGAACCCATGCAAGAAGGCGAATGGGTGTGGGTGTGAACCAAGAGGTGAGAGGTGGCTTTTGAGTCGACTCAAAAGCCACCTCGAATGAAGTGAATGCAGAGAAAGGAGAGGAGGTTGACTGATGAACCCATGCAAGAAGGCGAATGGGTGTGGGTGTGAACCAAGAGGTGAGAGGTGGCTTTTGAGTCGACTCAAAAGCCACCTCGAATGAAGTGAATGCAGAGAAAGGAGAAGTTGACTGATGAACCCATGCAAGAAGGCGAATGGGTGTGGGTGTGAACCAAGAGGTGAGAGGTGGCTTTTGAGTCGACTCAAAAGCCACCTCGAATGCAGTGAATGCAGAGAAAGGAGAAGTTGACTGATGAACCCATGCAAGAAGGCGAATGGGTGTGGGTGTGAACCAAGAGGTGAGAGGTGGCTTTTGAGTCGACTCAAAAGCCACCTCGAATGAAGTGAATGCAGAGAAAGGAGAGGAGGTTGACTGATGAACCCATGCAAGAAGGCGAATGGGTGTGGGTGTGAACCAAGAGGTGAGAGGTGGCTTTTGAGTCGACTCAAAAGCCACCTCGAATGAAGTGAATGCAGAGAAAGGAGAAGTTGACTGATGAACCCATGCAAGAAGGGTGGCTTTTGAGTCGACTCAAAAGCCACCTCGAATGAAGTGAATGCAGAGAAAGGAGAAGTTGACTGATGAACCCATGCAAGAAGGCGAATGGGTGTGGGTGTGAACCAAGAGGTGAGAGGACGACAGCGCGCAGACAGAGGAAAGAAGAGAGCGGGAGAGAGGGAAGAGACGATGACATGAATAGGTGAGTATAGACATATTGGCAGGGGGGAGGCTCACCTGGGGAGTGGGAATGGAGAGGCTAACCTGAGGAGTGGGAGTGGAGAGGCTAACCTGAGGAGTTGGGGTGGGGAGGAAAAAGAAGCGAACCCCCGTGTTGATGGCTGCCGCAAGCACTGGACCCCCCTGATGAGGCGAGGAGGGAGAGGAGAGGAGAGGAGACGAGGGGAGAGGAGAGGAGACGAGGGGAGAGGAGAGGAGAGCGGAGGCGAGGAGAAAGAATCGAGAGATGTTGAGGAGGAGGAATGACATCTGAAGTGAGAAGAAGGAAGAGGCTGACACCAGAATGGATCGATTGAATTTTAGTCTCGTGATAACAGATCACCGCCTAAGGATGACCAGTCCTCGAGAGACGGGAACCAATGTCACGAGACATCATCATCATCACTTGCTGAACGAACAAAACGCGAATTGACATCTGAAGTGAGGAGAAGGACGAGGCTGACACCAAAACCAGAATGGATCTATTTTCAGAGTCCTCGAGAGACGAACTGGAGCCAATGTCACGGCACGAGACATTATCATCACTTGGTGAACGAACAAAACGCGAATTCCTTACCTGGTGGTCGATGTGAGCTCCTAACGGGCAGATTCTGTAGGGAGCGAACGCGGTCTTCGCTTTAGTCACATCGCAGGCGAGGCCGCTGCCGCCGGTACTACCGAGGTCGCCTGGAGCGGGATGGACGAGCGGCAGCAGTTTCAGCAGCTCAGCACGAAGCACCCCCTCCATGGCAGTCAACTGCTACGGAAAACACAGAAGTCTGTTTTATACCAAAGCTGCAGGTTTCCGAATTGCTGTCTGACAAGTTTATGAAGTAAACGGCTGTGAAGCAAAGCACAGAGCACGGACTCTGCAAAAATGGATTCGGGATTGGGGTGGGGAGAGTTTCGGGGCAGCGAAAGAACGATATAGAAAGGTGAAAACTGGTGGATAATGGCACACTTCGGTGACCCTGCTGATGATGATAGTTGAGTGGGGTTGAAATGTCACATCTATGTCAAACTTGGCGGGCTTCACTCGGTTGAGAGCGATTCTGACATAACTCCGCCCCATCTGCATTATGAATGCTGCACAAACACTATCTATTTTCTTGTGCCACACGTATTTACCAAAACTGACACATGAGCACGAGATCAGAAAAAAATCAGCACATCCATGCACCAGCATCCACCAGTCTATAATATAGACCTATCTACAAAAACTTGTCTTACAACGAATAAATATTGATCCTATCGAAATTGTGGAACAAAATCCCTTAGCATTTACTGCAACAGGGCGATAAATAAACCACCTCGAAGCACACAGCATTCCCCTTCTCCCATCAATTACATCTCCATAACCTGCAATTCCATCACCAATACCATAACAATTTTAGCCAGGGCTCCGAGAGTGGTTGAAGCACAACCCATAGACTCTCTTGCGCTGCCCAGCCTTTCATTTCCTGACCCCACAATGTCGCCCTCCTAACAGTACTTGTCTCGGCTGCTTCACACTGGCCTCCTCAACCCATCTTGGCAGTGTGGTCAGAAACTGCCGAAAAAGGCTGCTCCTAGAGACCATCCTTGAAGCTAGGACCGCTGCTGCTTCCCATCACGCTTTCAACCACACAAGATGCTTTCCTCCTCCTGCTCCAAGATTCCCAATGCATCATGCACCCCCGGCCTGCTCACAAATCTTTGATCACATTGAAGACGTATTACCAAACCCACTGTCTCAGCAGACCAACTACAGTACCTCATCAAACCCACTATCTAACCAACCCCGAAAGCTCACCAGCCCTACTGCTTCACCCTACTACCTTTACCCACCCACCACCTCAACAGCTGCATTCTCCCACCAACCCTGCTACTGCTACTGTACCACACTACGCTACTGCTGCACCCTGCTACCTCACAACCCTCACTATCTCACCAGCCCTACTGCTTCACCCTACTCTCTCACAACCCTCGGTATCCCACCATCACTACTGCTCCACGCCTTCTTACATCCCCACCCTTTCTATCCCACCTGCCCTATCGCCTCACCCTGCTACCTCACTACCCCTGAACGATTTTCTCCCTTGTTGCCCGCCTCTCCTCCATCCGCTGATTCTTACTCTCCTTATCGTCCCTGCCCCCCTTCGCCGGTCCAAACCCCGACAGCCAATGGGCAAGGTGCCTTTTCAGTCTACTCAAAATTCGACCCTACCACCCCTTCACGATTTTCTCCCTTGTTGCCCGCCGCTCCTCCGTCCGCTGACTCATCATGATCTCCTCCTCCTCCCTGCCCCCTTTCGCCAGCCCAAACCCCGACAGCTGATGCGCTGGGTGCCTTTTCAACGTACTCAAAACTCGACCCTACCACCCCTTAACGATTTTCTCCCTTGTTGCCCGCCGCTCCTCCATTCGCTGACTCGCAGTCTCCTCATCATCTCTGCCCCCCTTCGCTGGCCCAAACCCTGACAGCCGATGCGCTGGGTGCTTCTCAGGAGGCCCAGAGGACGGGTCCAAAAGAGACAAGATATGCGAAGCCCAGTACAGGGACTCCGGCGGGCCTTCGTCTTGCACTCTTTTCACTGCAACGAGTCCGCCACTAGCGAGGATGTAAGTCGCGGATACCTTGTTAGAGGACAGGACGTAGAGGGCCCACGCGGCATTCTTTGACGCCTCGGGATTATCGTTCTGACACAGCAGGTCTAGGAGGAGGGGACACGCGCCTGCTCCCGCTACAGTCAGCTTGTTCTCGTCGTGATTCACAGCGAGTGTGCCTAAAGCGAGCGCCGCTTTCTCCTGCTCGGGAGGCGAGCCTTCTTTCAGCATAGTCACGAGAGCTGGGACACCCCCTGCTTCCGCTACAGCCGTCTGATTCCTAACATTGTTGGCCGTGAGCTGCGCTAGAGCCTCTGCAGCCTCCTGCTTCGCTTCACTCTCAGAATCCGATTGGATAATTGCGACTAACGACGGGACAGCCTCTGACGCGGCGATTATGACCTTATTCTCCGTGTTCACCGCTAAGTTCCACAGCACCCGCGCCGCGACCGCTCTCGCCTCTGCACCCCCGGTGCGCAGCAGCGACACAAACGACGGCACGCACCCAGCTTTAGCGATCACCACTCGATTCTCGTCTAAGCACGCGAGGCGCAGCAGCACTCGCGCGGCGGCTAGTTTCGTGGGCTCCCCGGGACTGTCGGGGAGAGTGAGGAGGACGGACAGCACCGGAACCGCGCCCGCTGCGGCCACGCTAAGCTTCCCCTCATCCGATTCCGCCAGTTCTAGCAGCGCCGCCAGTGCCGCGCGCTTCTCCGCGGGGGAACCGTCCATGAGCGCGGAGACGAACACGCGCGCGTGGTCGGATTCCGAACAAATGCTGCTAACGCTGGGGGGAGCGCGGGGGTACTCTGACGCATGCCAGACGTGGGATGACGTGTAATCAGAAACCGTCATCTCTCCGTTAGCGTCTTCGTACATCTCCTCCGAGCCACCCGCTTGCCTGGCTGCATTCGCGCGTCGCACGTTCGGGATGTCCATCGAGAACTCCCCGGGAGTGCCGCGCGCCGCTGCCACTTCAGCAGCGTCCGTGGAGGAGAACGAGCGGGGCATCGGCATCGCCTCGCCGGCCGTGCCGGGCCGATTCAACTCCGGCACCAAATGCCGCTGCTGCCGCTGCTGCTGCGAAGAATGGCGATCCCCGTGACCGCCATAAACCCCGTGAATCCCGTGCGCGCCGCGGGACACCTGCTCTGGCAAGCCGTCGCTTCCTGACCGCGGAAGCGCGCGGGGCCGGGGACTATGCGCACCGGATTGCCTGCCTCTGTTCCAAGCGCGGGGGGAGCGGTCTACCATGGGGCTGGAAGGGAGAATCACCTCAGTTGAAAAACCCCGTTGCAAACCTCCACCCGCGGAACCATAATCCGAGCCTAGTCGCTCCGGTGCGTCTCCGCTGATGCTTCCGCCTGTACCTCCGCCGATACCTCCGCGGCCGCTGTTGGCGCCGCCTGTTGCGGGAGGGACGCCGGTAGCGCTGCGCGGCGGGTAGGTGTTTCGACCGTGGAAATTGTCCTGGCCAATCAGAATGAGGCATTCCGTGTGGCACTGGCGGATCTCCGCTAAACATGTCTCCAGCCGCTCCGCAATTTCCGATCGGCGCTTGAAGCGGAACATAATGCCGAGTACAGATGCCTTAGTGCTGGTCTCCAGAAGATGTTTCGCCTCTTGTAACTCTGTAACCAGACGCTCGAAAACGAAAGTGGCTCTGGGGTCGTGGATGAGGCTCATTGACGAAGCCTGCAGCCGGCGAAGCACGGGAAGAAGCTGCTGCGTACGCGTCGCAATCCGATCTGTTAGTAGCCGGTGCGAGCGAGACTGCGACGCCGTAGCGGCTATCTGCAGGATGCGCTCTGCGAGGGATATCGCTGTCGCCAACTCGGCTAACACGCGACGATCGGCATTGTCTGAACCTGTTTCGACTTCTGCGACATTTTCAGCGGGGTGGCGATTGCCCGAAGCACGGCCGTGACGTGAACTATCGTGATGGTTTCGCTGGCTGCGATGACGATTATCATTATCGCGATCTGAGACGGGTTGGATCTCGGCCTCCATTCTGTACCGTTCTCTTAGCGGCACAACGCAGATAGCTTAGCTTGAAGCGGCACTTAAGCTTCTGCTTTGGGAATAAAGCTTATATATTCAACTGCGGGAACAGATTTGAAACTAGATGAGGAAAATAGAAGTCCCGACTGGAAAGTGATACCTACGGCTTAGGAGAAATTGTTCTAGAAACATGGTGCAAGACTTGACCATAAAGAATACAAGGGGAGGAGAGGAGGATAGTGTGATGTGAACAAGAGAACCATGCAATGGTTGCGGAGTCGACCAGAAACACCAGAGATCGAAGAGATGATGATGGTACAGCAGGTCCAACATAACTGTAGCACATCCAAAGAGTCACAGCGAACATTAACGAATTTCTAACGAATCACGACTGACGTGATTCGTGAATCGCGAACCAATGGCCGAAAGTACCCACCGAACCAGGCCAAAGGGGCAAGTGGACACGCGTGTGCGCTGGAAGGGTGGATTGTGAGCGAGGAAGGGTCGGGTCTCCCTGTGTGTGCCCACCCCACACCCAAAGCCTTGGAAGATGTGGGACTAGAACGAGGCGTGCAAGAAGGGACTTGAAGCAGACTACGGGTGTGATACAAACGGAGAGCGGCGCCGGTGCGGTGGCGGCTGGCCATAATGGGGTGGGTGATATCGGAAAAACACCCTGAAAACAACAGCTAGCCTCAGTGGGTGGAGGGAGTAAAGGTACTACAATCAAGAGAAAAGCCCTTGGATCTTTGCAGGACTAAACTCTGAGTAGAACAATCTAATAGCGGAAGCGTTTAATGAGAAGTTTGTGAACCACCTTGCGCTGATATGTGTGTGAGGGCAAAGTAGATTGATTCAAACAAAGAGATACAAGCTTTTATAAGAGTACAAGGGAATATGAAGGGTTATAACTGGTAATAACTGTTTTGCTGTTGCTGTTGCGGTTCGATACAGTGACGACTCGGGCAACTGCTCAATAACGAGTCAGTTGTTTGTCCTTGCTGTCGCGCTTTACTTGTCAAGTCAAAGGTCGCTGACTTTTGACTTTCGCGTAACCTCCAGCGGTTGTTCAACCTCCGAGGGTTGACTAGCCAATGCTTCGATATGTTTCGCTTCGCTTGTAACTTAATGCTTCGACACGAAAGAGGCGCTTAAGTTACTTGTTTCCAACAAACTTATCTTGTGAACTCAAAAAAACCCATCACCAAGGCCTCTACACACCTAGAACAAATGTTTTGCTGCCGCAATCAACTCCTGCATATGTCACATAAAAAATGGGTAGTACAGTATCTTGAACCTCAATAAATACCACCAAACGTTCTCAGTGTGCGGAAGAAGCAAAGGAACCCCGTGTACCACTGCAGCCCTCCTGCTTCTGCTTCTGCTGCCTCCCTCATCAATCTGACCAACTCCAACACAAGCCGTTGATCCTCCGCATTACTGCAAAGAACGGCGACAAGAGTCGGAAAACCGATCAAACAGAAACGCAGAGTGAAGCAAGATCCAAACAAGAAACTGGCCTGGGAAAACGAGAGGAAAGACAGATAATCACAACAATACTGGTAACAGAAACAGCAAGAGGTGTGATCACACTCCAAGCGACGTCGCAATACCAGTACGGCGATGTCAGCCATGGAATGATGCCCCTTTACGGCATCGGATCTCAACAGCAGTCACAACGAAACCACTGAGAAGACGTCTCAAGCTCATCTCACAACTCACCAGTACGGCGATGTCAACCACGCAATGATGTCCTGCACGGCATCGGATCGCAGCAGAAGAAGCCTGAGCGAGTCCTCCCTCTTGTGCGCCTTTTAAGACGTCTCATCTCGCAACTCACCAGTGCGGAGAGGTCAGCCAAGCAATGATGTCCTGCACGGCATCGGATCGCAGCAGCAGGCGCAGCGAGCCTTCCCAGCGGTGTGCTTAATAAAACATCTCAGAACTTACCAGTGCGGCGAGGTCAGCCAAGCAATGATGTCCTGCACGGCATCGGATCTCAGCAGAAGCCTGAGCGAGTCCTCCCTCCTGTGCGCCTCCACGCGCACCAGGATCGCCAGGTGGCGCTGAAACGTGAGAGTCAGCTCCGCCACACTCAGCCGCGCCTCTAAATACTCCGCCTCCCCTCCCCCTCCCCTGCTCCCTGCTGCTGCCCTTGCTCCCCCTGCTCCTGCTCCTCCTACTCCCCCTGCTCCTCCTACTCCTCCTGCTCTAGTTCCGGCTGCTGTTGCGGCAGCTGTTTCTGCTGCTACTGTTCTTTCTGTGCTTCCTGCTGCTGCTGTTTCTCCTGGTGTGCCCTCCGGCTGTGGCGACGAGCCTACAGGTAACGACGGTGGTGTGCTGAGTGGTGCTGTGCTGTGCGGTGGTGTGCTGTGTGGTGCTGCATCACTCACTGCACTGTCGTTGGGTGTTGCACTGCTAGGAACATGGGGGTTGGATTCTGGGGATCTGGACGGGGGGTTCGGTGCGTCAGTGGATGCTGGCAGAGGGCTTGACGGGGAGGGCTGCTGTGGTGACGAGTCACCTGCATGCGGTGATGAGTCAGCTACGCGCAGTGATGAGTCAGCTGTGTGTGGGGATGAGTCAGCAGCAGGAGAAGTGGTGGCGGCTGTTGTGGCACCACCAGCAGACGCGGATGCAGGCACAGCAACCGCTTCCCTGCACTCCCCTGCCCTCTCGGCCGCTGCACTGGCAGTACCAACACTACCAGCAGCACCAGCATCAGCAGCACCGGCACCAGCACCAGCACCCGCAGCACCAGTACCAGAATCACCACCAGCAGGCCCAGCAGCAGCAGCAGAATCACCAGCAGCACCACCACTGCCAGCAGCAGCAGCAGCAGCAGCAGCAGCAGAATCACCAGCAGCAGCAGCAGCAGCAGCAGCAGCAGCAGCAGCAGCAGTACCCCCTACATCAGCAGAAGCAGCAGCAGCAGCAGCCCAGGTGACATGGTCCTCTAGCCGGGGCGGCCACTCAGCACGAGACACCACCTCAGCCTCCACAACCCCTCCTCCAAAGTGACTACTCCCATCGTTCCACCGCTCCCTCCTCGACGCGCTCCGAGAGAGCGACCGGGAGAGGGAGCGGGAAAGCGACCCTGGTAGCCCCGCCGCTGCCAGCTCCCCTTCGATCTCCGCCACGATCTCCCTCCGCGACGAGCTTCGCGACATGGACTGCCGCACGACCGGCAAAACACCTGAGAATTCACCTGAGAGGTCGCGGCGGGAGCCGCTACGGGACAAGGAGAAGCCGCCCAGGCTGCCGGGGCCGGGCAAGCTGGGGAGCCCAGCAGCAGAGGGGGAGGTGGAGAGGGCGGAAGAAGCGGGGGAGTCTGCAGGAGCAGCGCGGCGAGAAGCACTCCTGGAGAAGGTGAGAGGTGAGTCGGGTACGATCTCTCTGCGAGATATCCCGGGCCGGGTCACAGGCGTTCCCGGTACTCCTGCTGCTAGCACCGCTCCTAGTCCCCCTGATACGGGCCGGGGTGAGTCCGGGACGATCTCGCGGCGTGAGCTGCTTCGAGAAAACAGGCCGGGGTTTCCCATGGAAACAGGGGCGTGTGGCGAGTCGGGGACGATCTCGCGGCGCGAGCTGCTTCTAGCGAGGCTGTACGCGCCTATGGCTGAGGCCCATGCTGTCGCCTCTGCTGCTGCAGGTGGTGGCACTGGTACGTCCTGCGAGCTGGACCCACTCCTCACAATCACCCCACCCCCGCTGACAGTTATCATAGCCCCCCCTGCTGCCCCCCCCGCCGCTTCGGCTATGCCTGCTGTTCCCACTCCTGCTCCTCCTCCTCCTCCTGCTGCTGCTGCTGCTGCTGCTGCTACTCCAGGCAGTTCGTGGCGGGAATTGCTACGGGACATGGAGGAGAGAAGGTCAGTGGCAGAGGCACCAGCAACGCCCTCTCGCTTGGAAAGACTGCGCACCAGAACGCTGATGTTGCTGCGCCGCCCACTGGAAGACCCTGCACCATCCCGCTCCATTGCTCTTGCCAATCCTGTCAGACCGGGCATACCACCACCCACTGCCACTCCCAACAACTGCTGCTGCTGCTGCTGCTGCTGCTGCTGCTGCTGCTGCTGCTGCTGGGTTGAATTCTCCTGCTGACTTGACTGCTGCTGCTGCTGCTGCTGCTGCTGCCGCTGCTGCTGCTGGTGAGCAATCCTGGAGCTCAGCACACGGGCATCCCCTTTCCCTGCGGGCATGCGGGCGACGGTGACGTCGCCCACAGCAGCGCCGAGCAGAGCCTGGGATAGCACAGCGTAGAGCTGGGACTTGGCCAGGTGGTGGGTCCATGCCGTGCTGCCCATGCCATGGGTTTTGCAGAGTAGGAAGCGGTGGTGAACGGTTAGGAGGAGCTGCGCTGGGTGGTGCTGCTGCTGCTGCTGGGCTGATGCCGCTGGTGCTAATGCTGCTGGTGGTGCTAATGCTGGTGGTGGTGATGATGTGGTGGTTGCTGGGTTGGCTGGGTGTGCAGCAGTATCAGCAGCAGTGCCAGGAGCAGCGGTAGCAGCAGCGGCAGAAGAGGCAGCAGCAGCTTTGTTGCAGTGGAGGAGGAAGGTGTAGAGCACGTGTGGTCTGAACCATGCTGCCACGTCACCCATATCCATCCCTCCCCACCCATCCCCACACATTCCCTCAACCGTCCCTTCACCCGTCCCTGCACCTCCTCCTCCCCCTCCCCTTCCCCCTCCCGCACTCCCGCTCCCGCTCCCGCCCTTCCCTCTCCTCTCCAATCTCCGCAACTCCCTTCGATTACACCACGCTATAAACCCATTCACTATTTCATATAACAAAACCAGAGCCGCAGGCACGAGCAGCAGCACGAGCGCGCACACAAACAGCGCTGTCGCCGCCGCCGGCACAACCACATAGCTCTTCCCCGTGAGAGCAACCGTGAATAGAAGGTCAGAGAGAGCGAGGAGGGAGGAGAGAAGGTCGAGGGAGAGCGAGGAGTGGGGGGAGGCGGCGAAGTGGAGGCCGATGTGGATGGCTTGCAGAGGGAGCGTGACGGAGAGCTGTGTCTCGGGGGACGTGCAGGGGAAGACTGCCAGGGAGGCGATGAACAGCCGCCGCGCATAACACGTAAGGTGCCACCTGGCAGTGAAGGGGGAGGAAGGGGAGCGGAAAGCAGGGAGGAGGGAGGGGGCCGGAAAGCAGGAAAATTAAGTCAGGAAAGGGTGCTCAGGCGTTGTGAAAGGGAGGAGAAGGGGTGAAGGGAGCGGGAGAGGGCAGCATGGGGAAAGGAGTGGGGGGGGGGAGGCGGCGAAGGGGAGGCCGTTGTGGATGGCTTGCAGAGGGAGCGTGACGGAGAGCTGTGTCTCAGGGGACGTGCAGGGGAAGACTGCCAGGCTGGCGATGAACAGGCGCCGCGCGTAGCAAGTCAGGTGCTACATGGTGGGGTGGGGGGGAGGGGGAGGAGGAGGAGAGTGGGGAGGGGGAGTAGGAGGGAAAAAAAAACTGCAAGCTCCCTTGGAAAGTTTTACAAAAGATGGTTGGTGGCCTACCAGTAATAATGTTCGTCGTATCGGTTGACCATCCGCCCCCACCGCCTCTTGTATGCATGCCAGTAACGGTTGACCAAAAGTTGGTTGGTGGCCTACCAGTAATGATGATCGCATGCGCATGCCACACCCCCCTTGAAGGCACCCACGGCTGGGCTTGGTGACTTTTGACGCAACTCAACACGTGCAGGTCAAGGGACAGAGAGCAGAGCAGCATGAGTGCAAGGCATGCAGGAGTGAGTAACCTACCAGTAATGCAGAGGCACATGGGTGGATGGGTGGCGTACCAGTAATGCAGAGGCACATGGGTGGATGGGTGGCGTACCAGTAATGCAGAGGCACATGGGTGGATGGGTGGCGTACCAGTAATGCAGAGGCACATGGGTGGATGGGTGGCGTACCAGTAATGCAGAGGCACATGGGTGGATGGGTGGCGTACCAGTAATGCAGAGGCACATGGGTGGATGGGTGGCGTACCAGTAATGCAGAGGCACATGGGTGGATGGGTGGCGTACCAGTAATAGTGATCGTCGTATCGGTTGACCATCCACCCCCACCGCCTCTTGTACGCATGCGCATCCCATCCCCCCCTCCCCCCCCGCTCTCCCTTCCCCTTCCCTCTCCCCCTCTCCCCTCTCCTCCCCTCCTCTCCCCTTCCCTCCCCTTTCCCCACCTCTCCTCCTCGCTCCCGCCCCCATCCCCCTCTCCCCCACCATAGCACCAACGCATGACCCACAGGCAGGCCCGCACCATATAACATCAGCACCACTACAGACAAAGCAAACATGGTGTTGTGGGCGGCGGAGAACCAGACGATAGTCGGGGCGGCGGCGAGCGTCTCTATCCCGTAGAAGTACGGGTGGAGGGCTTGCAGGCAACGGTAAATGACTGGCGCGTAGCAGAGGTCTAACCAGTTGGTTACCCCGTGAATTAGGGTGTAATTGAAGGGATCGGAGTGGGTGTGGTGGGATGGAGGGTGGTTGGGGGAAGCAGTGTCCTCTGCTCCTGTGTTGCTGGTGGTAGCAGTAGCAGCGGGAGCAGCAGCAGCAGCAGCAGCAGCAGCAGGAGGAGGAGGAGGGGAAGTGGAGGTGGTAACTGCAGCAGTAGAGGTGCTTTTGCTACAGAAAACAAACAGGTAGAGCTTGCGCAGGGCAAAGAGTGCGGTGTAAACGAGGAGGCCTATAAGGGGTACGAGCATGGTGACTGCCCATTGCTGCTCGTAGCCGAAGGGTGTGGTGCAAGCCGGTGCAATCAGGTCCTGATGGGTGCATGCATGAGGGCATAAGGGATGGGGATAAGGGTGGAGAAAGGGGCAGAGACAGAGGGGAGAAGGTGGGTGGGTGAGTGGGGGAAGATTGAATGGCGACTGCCCATTCCTGCTCATAGCCGAAGGGTGTGGTGCAAGCCGGTGCAATCAGGTCCTGATGGGTGCATGCATGAGGGCATAAGGGATGGGGATAAGGGTGGAGAAAGGGGCGGAGACAGAGGGGAGAAGGTGGGTGGGTGAGTGGGGGAAGATTGAATGGCGACTGCCCATTCCTGCTCATAGCCGAAGGGTGTGGTGCAAGCCGGTGCAATCAGGTCCTGATGGGTGCATGCATGAGGGCATAAGGGATGGGGATAAGGGTGGAGAAAGGGGCGGAGACAGAGGGGAGAAGGTGGGTGGGTGAGTGGGGGAAGATTGAATGGCGACTGCCCATTCCTGCTCATAGCCGAAGGGTGTGGTGCAAGCCGGTGCAATCAGGTCCTGATGGGTGCATGCATGAGGGCATAAGGGATGGGGATAAGGGTGGAGAAAGGGGCGGAGACAGAGGGGAGAAGGTGGGTGGGTGAGTGGGGGAAGATTGAATGGCGACTGCCCATCCCTACTCATAGCTGAAGGGTGTGGCGCATACTGGTGGTACAAGTAGTGTATTGAGACGTCTCAAAACACTACACGGTGACTTTTGAGTCGACTCAAAAGTCGAGTCGAGTCGACTCAGAAGTCACCTCGTTACAATGACACATGCTGGTGGTAGAAGTAGTGTATAGAGACGTCTCAAAACTCTACTTCTATCAGTTAAATGAAGGGACCATGGGTAGTCACAGTCTAAGGTTGTGGAGCATGCTGGTGGTGCTATCCCATGGTAACAGTCACAGGGCTTTTCTAGAATGACTCAGCACGCTTTTCTAGAATGACTCAGCACGCTTTTCTAGAATGACTCAGCACGCTTTTCTAGAATGACTCAGCACGCTTTTCTAGAATGACTCAGCACGCTTTTCTAGAATGACTCAGCACGCTTTTCTAGAATGACTCAGCACACAGCAGCACTTACAGGAATGAATAGTGAGAGCTGGAAGAGCTGGATGAAAGGGTTGAGCCAGGTGGGGAGCGGTATGGTGTAGGATGCGATAATTGCGAGAGATGGTTGTTGATTCGACTAGAAAAAAACATTTCCGGCTCAATAATCAACACACTCACAGGGATGAAGAGTGAGAGCTGGAAGAGCTGGATGAAGGGGTTCAGCCAGGTGGGGAGCGGCACGGTGTAGGATGCAATGAGTGCGAGCAGCTGCAGGTCTGTGAGGAAGATGGCTGCAGCGTGGAAGGCGGATGAGAGTAGTGCCATGGCCGCCCATGCGAGCAGAATCAGCATGAGGAAGAGCGGGAATAGCTGTGTGGTAGGGGGTGGGGGGGGGGGGGGGGGAAGAGGCAATGAGTGCGAGCAGCTGCAGGTCTGTGAGGAAGATGGCTGCAGCGTGGAAGGCGGAGGGCAGCAGTGCCATGGCTGCCCATGTTAGAATGATCATTGTGAGGAAGAGCTGTAGTGATGGGGAATGCGGGAGAGGACGGGTAAGTGGGGGTTGACACAGGGAGTGGAGGAGTGAGGAAGATGGGTGCAGCGTGGAAGGCGGAGGAGAGTAGTGCCATGGCCGCCCATGCCAGAGGGATAAGCGTGAGGAAGATTGGGAAGAGCTGTAGTGAACGGAAAAGGAGGAATTGGGGAAGGCAACGGGGGATGATGGGGTTGTGGGAAAAAAAGGAGAAAGAAAAAAAAAACAGCCTGTGCCATGCAAAGTTTTGTACCAGACACCCTAACGCCACCTCACATGCTAACCCCCTCCTCCTCCTCCCTCCCCCACTCTTGAGTTGACTCAACAGGGACTCACATTGGTGAGGGTGGCAGTGCACGAGTGGCACTCCCTAAGCAGAGAGTAGAAGCCAGAAGCACACTCAGAGCATAGCCGCACCTGGGCATACCCCTCTCCACACTGCCCATACTCCTCTCCATCCCCCCCAACCCCTCTGCACCGCGCCTGCTCCCCCTCCCCTCCGACGCACACCGCCGCCGCCACACCCCCTCCTTGTGCTGAAATAGAATCCGGATTCGGGTAAATTTGAGAATTGCTTCCATTTTGGAGGGTAGAAGCTTGGAACCCGGGGCACCCGTTGAGCACATCGCACGAATACACCACCACCTGCCCGTTCGCCACGCTCCCGGGATCCAGCCAATACCCCGCCGCCACGTCAGCAACGCCGTCAGAGCAGGTCATAGCGGGGAGGTGGGTGCGGGCGTTGGTGGTGTTGGGGCAGGGGAGGCAGTCAGTGGGGGAGGTGGCACCTGGGCGGAAGGAGAAGGTGCCATCTGGGCAGTGCTGCGCGCCCTTGCCAGGCCCGCAGTAGCTGCCTATGGGACAGATGGTGCATCGCATCAGGCTGTTTTGAGGATTCTGAGAATGGTCAGATGTGAGAGGGGATGATCCTCCACTCATGGTGCTGTTGGCGGTGGTGCTGTTGGCGGTGCTGTTGGCGGTGGTGGTGGTGGTGGTGGTGCTGCTGCTGCTGCTGCTGCTGCTGCCGCCGCTGCTGCTATTGTAGTTGTTCGTGCCGTTCCCTGCTGTTTCGTAATACTGCCCGGCCGGGCAGAAAACGATCTCCAGCGTGCGCTGAAACGGCGGGAACGCGTTCAGCGGGCTGCTGACGGCCACAGCCAATGAGAGCACGCCAGCTGTCCCATCAGGAGCATCGGCGCTGGAAGCGGGAGTTGCAGCAGAAGCGATGGGATCACCAGCAGGGTCAGCAAAAGTAGCCGTGGCGGGGTTACCACCAGTAGGAGAAGCCGTAGGGTAAGCAGTAGGAGTTAAGGAGGGAGGCACTTGGACGATTGTGATGGGCGGCACAGTGACAGTGCCGCCCACTGCTGTTGCTCGCAGCTCCCCCGAAATGAATGGGCTTGGCACCACCTCAACCAGCACCGAGTCATCCTGTTAGGTAGAGCGGAGATGGAGGGGAAAGATGGAAGAGAGAGAATGAGAGAGAGGGGTGTGTGAAGAGAGCGGCACAGTGAGAGTGCCGCCCACTGCTGTTGCTCGTAGCTCCCCCGAGATGAAGGGGCTTTGTACCACCTCCACCAGCACCGAGTCATCCTGCTGTGTGGAGAGGGGGGGAGAGGGATGAGAGGAGACGAAGGGGTCAGGGCTCCTTCCTTCTGCGGCTTGTGGCTCGCGAGTGATGAACGGGCTTGACACCACCTCCACCAGCACCGAGTCATCCTGCTGTGTGGAGAGGGGGAGGAGGGGAAGGGATGGGGGTAGAGGCATGCAGAGTGCAGAAAATCCGGGTTTAAGGCGATGAGGCCAGCAACAGCGAGCACAGCACAGTACAGCACCGCACCGCACAGCACAGCACAGTACAGCACCGCACCGCACCGCACCGCACAGAACAACAGACTCACACTGGAAGCCAGGAGGCCGGCAGCATCGAGCAGAGTGACGTGCAGCCCTGAGACGGGGTTGGCCATGTCCCCCCTCACCCTGTAGCGCGCCTGGCCCCCTGTGTCCCGCTCGCCACTGCCTGACCACCTGGTGGGGATACAGTGCACAGCACAACAGAAGAGGGGTGGAGAGGGGTAGAAAGGGGTGAAGAGGCAGCATCGGGCAGAGTGACGTGCAGCCCTGAGACGGGGTTGGCCATGTCCCCCCTCACCCTGTATTGCGCCTCCCCGCTTGCATCCCGCTCCCCACTTCCCACCTGGTGACGGCACAAGAGAGGGGTGGAGAGGGGTGGAGCGGGATGGAGAGCGGTGCAGGAGACGGGGTTGGCCATGTCCCCCCTCACCCTGTACCTCGCCTCACTGCCTGTGTCCCGCTCCCCACTGCCTTCCCACCTGGTGAAGGTACAGCGCACAGCACACAGGAGAGGGGTCGAAAGGGGTGGAGAGGGGTGGTCGTACCATTCCTTTTTGTGCTGGTCCCACCGGACCCACTCGTTCTGACTACCATGTTGCCTTGGAAGGCCGACTTTTGAGTCGACTCAAAGGTCCCACGGGTCCCACTCGTTCTGGCCGCCGTGTTGCCTTGGAAGGCCAGAGGGCCTATGGCTTACAGAGTGTCACTCTCTGCTGCCGCCTCTCACGCACTCACTAACTCACTCACTCACTCACTCACGTACTCACTCACTCACTCACCCACGCACTCATCACATCATGAAAGAAGTGGGTGGAGATCCCAAGGTGTCCCTGGGGTCGGTGCGATGGCAGCGGAGGCAGGGCCACCGAGGGTTGTTGAGCCTAGACATGCAAGTCCCAATCACCCACACACTCACCACATCATAAAGGAAGTTGGAGGAGAGCCCAAGGTGTCCCTGGGGTCGGTGCGGTGGCAGCGGAGGCAGGGCGAGCGCTTGGACGGCTCAAAGGTGGCGTCGAAAAAGGCAGAGCCCCCCAGGGTAGCAGCCACACTCGTGCTGGCCGCAGTGTTGCCTTGGAAAGCCAGACGAGACACCGCCAACGGCAGCAGGCCTCCACCCCCTGCTGATGCTGCTGCTGCTGCTGAAGCCACACCAGTGGCAGCAGCAGCAGCAGCATCAGCAGCAGTAGCAGTTGCAGTGCTGTTGCTCATGTCAGTGTTGCCATCAGCTCCACTCCCATCCACAGATCCAGCACCTGGGGGCAGAAACTCACTCACAGCCACCGATCCAGCCCCAGCATCTCCCACCTCCCCACCCGCCGCCCCTCCCCGGTTGATATACACCCCCGCGCCCTCCCCACCGCCCACATTCCTCTTGAAAGCACACGCCGTGAGGGTGCCGTGAGCCTGTTCTAGAACAGCCATTCCTGCTCCCGATTCGCCGGCTTTGTTGTTGGTGAATGTGGCGCCTGCGATGGTTATGGTGGCGTTGCCTCCTGCGAATATTCCGGCCCCCTGGTGTTCTGCGCGGTTCCTTATAAGCCGCGGCCGCAGCCGGGCTTGTAACGAGGATGGCCCTGCTGCCTCCGCGCCTCCCGCTAAACCTTCCCCTGCTGCTCCTTTCACTCCTCCTGCTGCTCCTAACCCTGCTGCTCCCCCTGATGCTGCAGCTCCCAACAAATCATCCGACAGAGTCAGGCTGCTGTCAGCATCAGCAAAAACCGCCCCACCTCTCCTCGCCCAGTTCCCCTCCATAACCACCCCCCCCATCAGCACCACCACAGCCACATCCGAGACCTGAACCGCCCCGCCGTCCCTCGACCCTCCCGCACCGTTCCCTCTGAACCCCGTGTCTTGAAACCTCGCCTTGGTCTGCCCCATCAGCACCACACCGTGTTGCTCATTCCGCTCGAATCCCGATTTCCCGGTCACTGAAACCACCACCTCTCCTTCCGCTAGCAATCCACCGCCCACCAAAGCCCGGTTCGCCACAAACTGAGAGTCGGAAATAGAGAGGTTGGACTTGTGGATGGCATACACCCCCCCGCCTTGCACTTTCGCTGTGTTTCCGGTGAGATTCGAACCGGAGACCTTAACCTGGGCGTTCATTTCCGCCCACAGGGCCCCTCCGTCTAAAGCGGAGTTGTTAGAGAGGAGAGACGAGGAGAGGGAGAGGAGCGTTTGGCCGGTCATTCGCAGCGCTCCGCCCTCGTTCCCGCCGTCGTTTCCCGTGATGTTAGACGACGTGACTGTAGCGGTGGCGAACTCACCCAGGGAGATGCAGCCTCCCCCGGATGGTGCCTGGTTCCAAGAGCACTCGCTGCGGTGCAATCTGAGCCGTCCAAAGTCCTCGATCAGAACGGCGCCGCCGCTGCCGGAGCGGCAGTGGAGGAGGGAGCAGTTGAGTGCGCTGAGTGCTGCTTGGGAGGAGAGGGAGATTGCTCCCCCCCCCAGATCGGCCCGATTGGAGAGGAAGTGCGAGTGGGAGACAGTGACAGGGTAGAGCGTGCCGTTGGTTGCTGCTGTAGAGGTGCCTTCAACTGATGCAGGGAAGGAGGGGAGGGGTGCGAGGGAGAGGGGGAGGGGATGATGAGAAAGATGATAGACAGTGAGGAGGGAGACAGACAGGATAGAGTGTGCCATTGACAGGGGAGGGGGGAGAGGAGGGGGGAGGGGGGAGGGTGGAGGGGGGAGGGTGGAGGGAGGAGTGGGGAGGGGGGAGGGGGGAGGGAGGAGAAGGGAGGGGGGAAGGGGGTGTAAATGGAGGTGAAAGGGGTAGAGATCTGGAACAAAGGGGGCAGCAGTGGAGGAGCGAGCAGTCGACTGCTGCTTGTGAGGAGAGGGAAATCGCCCCGCTGCCCAGATTGGACGATTAAAAAGGAAGTGCGAGTGCGTGAGGGAAGGCGGGGAGAATGGGTGCAAATGGAGGGTGAAAGGGCATTCAAGAGGCTGGAGAAGGGAAGAGAGGGTAAGATAGATCTGTGCTCATGAAGAAGGGCAGCAGTAGGCAAGGTCGCCTTTAGCAAAGGGACGATAGTCAACCAGTGAAAAAAAGTAACCCTCGAAACAATTGATTAAGATCCGAACGTACAACTCAGTTCAAACTCTAGCAACTCATGTGGAAAAGTAGAACCCACTCCAGTATCCACTCAATCCATCTCAGTTTGTTCCCCACTCTCGTATCCACTCAATCCATCTCAGTTTGTTCCCCACTCTCGTATCCACTCAATCCATCTCAGTTTGTTCCCCACTCTCCACTCAATCCATCTCAGTTTGTTACCGGGAGTGATTTCTCTCATAATAACCACTCCATCCAACTGCAAATCTTCTGTTCCCTTCCATGTGATTTTTTAGGCGCCTTAAAAATCATCCCAATGCATAGCTTCTGTCCCCCAGCATTTTGGGAACCCCCCAGCAGTGCATAGCTTCTGTTCCCCAGCATTTTGGGAACCCCCCAGCAGTGCATAGCTTCTGTTCCCCAGCATTTTGGGAACCCCCCAGCAGTGCATAGCTTCTGTTCCCCAGCATTTTGGGAACCCCCCAGCAGTGCATAGCTTCTTTTACCTTCCATGTGCTTCTCCTACCTGATATCGCTCCTCCTTTGACCAGGGCGGAGTTGTTAACGAAAGTGGAGTTGTCTATAGCGAGTATGTTGCCAGAGAAAGCAATGGCTCCTCCCTTGGAGAGCAGAGCGGAGTTGTTGAGAAAGAGCGAGTGGGACACGAGGACAGTGCCTGTGGTTGCCTGCACAATGCAGTGAAAAGATCAATAGAAAAAGGGTGCCATTTCCATTAGGAGAAGAGCGGGGAGCAGAGAGGAGTTGTTGAGAAAGAGCGAGTGGGACACGAGGACCGTGCCTGTGGTTGCCGTGCCTGTGGTTGCCTGCACAATGGATTGGATTAGCAGATGAAGGTGTAGAGGTGTTGGGGAGGGAGGTGACGGGACGAGGGAAAAAGGGATAATCCCCCCCAAACACCCCTAGCCCCACCTCTTGCACGTAGATCCCCCCCCCCCCCCCTCCCCCGAGAGGGCAGTGTTGTTGAGAAAGGCGGCGCGGGTGATGTTCGTTACCCCCACGTTTCCTGTACGTATTGCCCTTTCTCCCCCCCAAACACCCTTTGCCCCACCTCTTGCACGTAGATCGCCCCGCCCTCCCCCGAGAGAGCAGTGTTGTTAAGAAAGGTGGTGCGGGTGATGTTGGTCTGCCCCACGCCCCCGGTTACTATGGCCCCTCCGTTGTGCAGCACTGTGTTTCCGGTGAACTCACAGCCGTCCACTGTTGCTTCCCGCAAGAAGAGCGCTGCGTGGGGATGGGAAGGGTGGGGGAGGAACATTGGGGGTGTGCTGAGGCGCCTACCCTCCCCAGTGGCCATGCCCCCTCGCCCCTCCGTTGTGCAGCACTGTGTTTCCAGTGAACTCACAGTTGACTTTTGAGTCGACTCAAAAGTCAACTCCCCACGCCCCAGGTTACTATGGCCCCTCCGTTGTGCAGCACTGTGTTTCCGGTGAACTCACAGCCGTCCACTGTTGCTTCCCGCAAGAAGAGCGCTGCGTGGGGATGGGAAGGGTGGGGGAGGAACATTGGGGGTGTGCTGAGGCGCCTACCCTCCCCAGTGGCCATGCCCCCTCGCCCCTCCGTTGTGCAGCACTGTGTTTCCAGTGAACTCACAGTTGACTTTTGAGTCGACTCAAAAGTCAACTCCCCACGCCCCAGGTTACTATGGCCCCTCCGTTGTGCAGCACTGTGTTTCCGGTGAACTCACAGCCGTCCACTGTTGCTTCACGCAAGAAGAGCGCTGCACGGATGGGGAGAGGGAGAAAGAGGGAGGGGAGGAGAGAGAGGAGGGGGGTGAGAGGATACAGAGGAGGAGCGGTGAGGGATGCTCTGCTGAGAGACGTCTCGACACAGCATGCCAGCGCCAACTATCCTGAAAGCGTTTTGAGACGTCTCGACACAGCATGCCAACGCCAACTATCCTGAAAGCGTTTTGAGACGTCTCGACACGGCATGCCAGCGCCAACTATCCTGAAAGTGTTTTGAGACGTCTCGACACGGCATGCCAGCGCCAACTATCCTGAAAGTGTTTTGAGACGTCTTGACACGGCATGCCAGCGCCAACTATCCTGAAAGCGTTTTGAAACGTCTCGACACAGCATGCCAGCGCCAACTATCCTGAAAGTGTTTTGAGACGTCTCGACACGGCATGCCAGCGCCAACTATCCTGGAAGTGTTTGAGACGTCTCGACACGGCATGCCAGCGCCAACTATCCTGAAAGTGTTTTGAGACGTCTCGACACGGCATGCCAGCGCCAACTATCCTGAAAGTGTTTTGAGACGTCTCGACACGGCATGCCAGCGCCGACTATCCTGAAAGCGTTTTGAGACGTCTCGACACGGCATGCCAGCGCCGACTATCCTGAAAGCGTTTTGAGACGTCTCGACACGGCATGCCAGCGCCAGAGGAATGTTGCAGAGGAATGTTGCAGAGGAATGTTGCAGAGGAATGTTGCAGAGGAATGTTGCAGAGGAATGTTGCAGAGGAATGTTGCAGAGGAATGTTGCAGAGGAATGTTGCAGAGGAATGTTGCAGAGGAATGTTGCAGAGGAATGTTGCAGAGGAATGTTGCAGAGGAATGTTGCAGAGGAATGTTGCAGAGGAATGTTGCAGAGGAATGTTGCAGAGGAATGTTGCAGAGGAATGTTGCAGAGGAATGTTGCAGAGGAATGTTGCAGAGGAATGTTGCAGAGGAATGTTGCAGAGGAATGTTGCAGAGGAATGTTGCAGAGGTGGTGATGGTAAGCCGAGCTTGCATGCGGCCACTGCATACCAGCGCCGGCAGGTTTTTGAGAATTCTAAAAAACCTAGTGGTGTTTGTGGTAAGCCGAGCTTGCATGTAAGCCGAGCTTGCATGTAAGCAGAGCTTGCCAGTCTCAACACCGTGTATCAGCGCCGGCAGGGCGGAAAGACGCCGCATGCATCTAATCACGGCGTCGCTCGCTCGCTCTCAAAGCTGCGTGATCAAAGTGTTGTTTCGAGCCAGTCTCAACACCGCGTACCAGCGCCGGCAGTGCGGAAAGACGCCGCGTTGCGGATGAACCGCGTGCGCCTGATCACGGCGTCGCTCTCAAAGCTCGCTCCGCCCGCAAACCGCGCCCGATTCTCCTCAAACACACAATCCTCCACCTCCATCCACACAGGATCGCTCCCCATCATTCCCCACGAGTGCAGCAGCGCCCCCCCCTGACCCGTCGCCGCGTCTGTCGTGTGCTTTGCTTCGTTCCCCACAAACGAGCAGTTGGAAAGAAAGCTCGGGCAGTCTATCACATAGACCGCTCCTCCAAAGGCCATCATGGGGGATTCTGCAATGTTGTGGAAAAACCGCGAGTGCCGAACGGTGATGGTCGAGCCCTGGCCTTCCAGTGCCGCCCCTCCGCCGCCCTGCGGGGTCATCGCGCGGTTACCGTGAAACTCGCAGGCAGTAACCGTAAGGTTGGCGACTCTTAAAGCCATGATCCCGGCCCCACCCATGAAGCTCGAGCCGTTGCGGAAGGAGGAGAGGGAGACGGAGAGGGAGGTGGTGTGGTTGGCGTGGATTGCGGCGCCACGCATGTAGGAGGTGTATGCGTCGAGGAGTGGGTTGGTGGCGACGCAGGAGAGGAAGGAGCAGCGCGAGACGGTGAGAGAGGGAGAGGAGGTATCAGCCATACAGCCCCCGATGGTGGCCTGATGGGGGTGGAAGGGAGGGAGGATGGGGTGTTAGTGTTAGCCTTCAATCTCACACTTTGTACTTTGTATTTTCTATATCCTAGAGTAGTGTGGTTTGCACATTGTGTTTGGTTGGGTGTACACCTACATCCCAACCAAACTCAAATGTAATCTCCAAGCAATCTCCAACCCACCAATTGGAGATTGCCTTGGGATTACCCCCAATCCCTATGGATTGCCCCCGATTCCCTTCCCCATCCATTCCCTCCCCTTCTTGGATGTACTTAAAGAGCTTCAAGCTCATTACTAATGTATCGTTTCTAAGCCTAAGTTATGAGATGGGGAAGAGGGAGGGAGGAGGAAGGAGCAGTAAGAGAGGGTGAGGGAGGAACAGTGGGAGACGGCGAGGGCGGGGGAGCATGTGTCAGCCATACAACCCCCGATTGTGGCCTGATTGGGGTGGGAGGGAGGGAGGGAAGGAGTGGGGGAGGAGAGAAAGTGGAGTGAGGGAAAAGTGTGCGCCATCGATGCGCCCAGAGCACCCTCTGGTGCTCAACCACTGACCAACCCGTACCCATCCCTACCCATCCCTACCCAACCATCCCCAGCCCCACTGACCTTATTATCGGAGAACCTGACGCCATCAATGCGCCCAGAGCACCCACTCGTTGCCAGCCCCCCTCCACCCACCATCCCACACCATCCCCGCCCCACCTGCCCATCCCTACCCACCCGCCCATCCCAACCACAGATCACCACGCACACCTTATTATCGAAGAACCTGACGCCATCAATGCGCCCAGAGCACCCACTCGTTGCCAGCCCCCCTCCATTTGCATCAGCCGAGCAGCGCGAGAATTCCCCTCCCCGCACCTCCACCCTACTGGCTTCGCAGTAAACACCTCCCCCAAAACCAGCCTTCGCAGAACACCCCTTGAACCAACAGTCTGTCACGCTCGCTATGGTCACGTTTCGTAACGCCACGCCCCCACCGCCTCCTGAGTGGGTGGAGACGGATGAGGCGCTGACGTGGACGCGCGAGAGTGTGACACGTGGCGCGTTGAGGACCGAGATCGCCCCGCCGTGACTGGCCGCAGAGCATCCGGTGAAGGAGGCATTGCTGACGTGGACGGCCTGATTCTCAACCAATAAACAGCCGCCACGTGGCGCACCTGCCCGGCCGTTCCGCACAGTGATTCCTGCGAGGACCAATCGCGCGTGGCCACATGGCACCACGGCAGTGGCTGGATCACAGACGGCCAAAAGGCAAGCCCCCCCTCCACAGTCAATAATTGGGGCGGCGGGGACAGAAGGAGGAGAGGGACCGAGGGGAGGAGGAGGAGAAGGAGGAGGAGGGTTGGGAAGGGGGGAGGGGAGAGCAGCGAGGAGAGAGATGGATTGGCCACCGAGAGCGAGGCCAGCAGTGGGGAGGCGGTGAGAACCCGGGGAGAGAAGCAGAGCGCCGCCTGATGAGGGCAGCCTGTGGGGTGGGAGCGAGCATGGGTGAGCAAAGGAAACATGGTTGGGAGGGAGGGAGGGGAGGGCGCCTGCTGGGGGCGACTTGGGGGTGGGGGAGAGGATGGTTGAGCATGGGTGAGCAAGAATGGGGACGCGATGTGAAGGGTGTAGGGATTGCGGGCATGGTTAAAAAATACGGTCTTGTTTTTGAAATATTTACCATAAAATACGGTCGTGTTTTTGAAATATTTACCGTAAAATACGGTACAGTGTCATAGGCTCCTGTGAGAAATTGTAAAGCAGTTTAAAAAATACCGTGTTTTTTTTTTTTTTTTTTTTTTTTCCTCAGGTTTGAGACGTTTCAGACGGCCTGGGTGACCAAGAATGTGAGTGGAGCGGATTTATCATCAAGGAGTGTGGCTCGTGAGTGAGTGAGTGACCATGGCGGTATTTGGGGGTGCTGTGTAGCTGTCTGGTGAATGGGAGAAGTGAGGTGACTGGCGGGGCGTGTAGATGCACAACAAACAGCACAAGGTGAGGTGAGCGGAATGAGCAGGGGGTGCAGAGGGGGGATGAGAGAGACAAAGGAGTGGAGAGCGGTTGAGGGCATGTAGGGTGGGTTGCGGATGCAAGGCGGGTTGTTTTATCCAATGCGAGTTGTTCCACTCACATTGATAGGCCAAGCTCCATTGTGCCTGCAAGCACACACATTCACGATGGCATGAAATGGCATGGCATGGCGTGGCATGGCATGGCATGGCGTGGCATGGCATGGCATGGCGTGGCATGGCATGGCATGGAATTGCATGGCATGGCATGGCATGGCATGGCATGGCATGGCATGCAACCAGACATGCCCACAAACACACACACACACAGCATAAAACACAAGAGCAGCGCATGAGCAAAAAGGTGAAGCAATTGAGGGAGTTAGTCAGCAAAAAGCTGCACAGACGAAATCAGAAGGATAACATGAAAACCAGCAGGCGGCAAGCACAGTTTTGAGACGTCTCAAAACTCTACTTTTATCACGTGGCAGCAGGCTGCAAGCACAGCGAGGCTGCAAGCACAGCGAGGCTGCAAGCACAGCGAGGCTCAACTGGTGGCAGGGGCACGGAGCGCACCACAGGGAGTGGCAGAGTCGCCGCAGCAGCCTGGTGCCGCTGACCCATGCCCGCCCGCACGCACATGCACCTGCTCCAGCTGTGGGCAGCCTGAGAAGAGCAGGATCGGGCACGTGAGAGGCGGGCAGGGGAAAATGGGGGGATCAGGTAGCCCGCAGCAGCCTGGTGCTGCTGACCCATGCACGCCCGCGCGCACATGCACCTGCTCCAGAGGTGGGCATCCCAAGCAGGAGCAGGAGAGGGGCGGGAAAGGGGGTAGGGGGAAGGAGGGGGGGGGATATTCAGGCGCCTCAAAAATCAGTTTGACTTGGGCTCATGTCTTGAGACGTCTCAAAAATCAGGCTGGCGTGGGCTCGTGACCATCCAAACCATCCATGCCCCCGTCCATGCTCCCATCCATGCCCCCATCCATGCCCCCATCCATGCCCCCATCCATGCCCCCATCCATGCTCCCATCCATGCCCCCATCCATGCCCCCATCCATGCCCCCATCCATGCCCCCATCCATGCCCCCACCCCATCCATGCCCCCATCCATGCCCCCATCCATGCCCCCATCCATGCCCCCATCCATGCCCCCATCCATGCCCCCATCCATGCTCCCATCCATGCCCCCATCCATGCACCCATGCATGCACCCATGCATGCACCCATGCATGCCCCCATGCATGTCCCCATGCATGCCTCCACCCACGCATGCATGCAAGTGCACCTGCCGTGAAAGTGGGCAACCTGAACATGAGAATGTGAGACAGTGATGGGCGTGAGAGAATGATTCAGGTGAGGGGTTTATTAGGATGAGGGTGTTCATTCGGGTGGGGGGATGATTCAAGTTAGGGGGCGATTAGGGTGAAGGTTTGAGAAAGAATAATGATGCACGCCACTTACCGTCACAACCCTCTCATATTAATCGTCCCCCATCCCTCATCCCCCTTTCAATCCCTTTCAACACCCCCAAATTTTCCACTGCCCAACCAGCGACCGACCGCACTGCGTTTCCCTGGTTACCTGACGCCGCAGCGCACGGCGCGATCGGCGCGGTGCAGAGCAGGGCGATCAGCAACGCCGCAGCAAACAGCCGACTGGCCGATGGCGCGCCACGATGATGCAGCCGCTGCCGACGCCAGGCCCCGCAACCGCCGCCGCCGCCGCCGCCCATCATCCGTTCAGCTGGGACCTCCGTTTCACGGGACTCTGGGGCGCTGCTTGTCCCAGAAATTCAGCTGAAGCGCGCCGCGCTCGCGAAGCTGGGGGTTCGCGGCGGAGATTACTACGTTAAATCCACGTTTACTACATCCGCCGCCGCAGGTGGTGTAACGCCGCCTGCGGCCTTACACGAAGGGTTGGCACGAGGTCCCTGCAGGGGCTGACTCCCGAAAGTTCAGAACCAACGAGGACGCTTGGTACGAAGCGTTATAGCGGGGGCCCGCAGCTTTGAGGTTGCTCCCCCTCTTTTGAGTCGACTCAAAAGTCAACTCGTTATAGCGGGGGCCCGCAGCTTTGAGGTTGCTCCCCCTCTTTTGAATCGACTCAAAAGTCAACTCGTTATAGCGGGGGCCCGCAGCTTTGAGGTTGCTCCCCCTCTTTTGAGTCGACTCAAAAGTCAACTCGTTATAGCGGGGGCCCGCAGCTTTGAGGTTGCTCCCCCTCTTTTGAGTCGACTCAAAAGTCAACTCGTTATAGCGGGGGCCCGCAGCTTTGAGGTTGCTCCCCCTCTTTCCCCGTCAATGGGTAAATGCGCGGACTCTCAGCGCCTCCCCTCTCCGCCACGAGGCGCGGACACCCGCTCAGTCCGTTTCCCCTTGCTGCGCGCAAGCTATTCAGCAATACCAATCTCCGTCGATGCGTCACGACAAGGCGGTGCCCTTCTGCTGCTATAATTCACGCTGCAATCACCCATTTGCCTGTAGCCTCTCGTCTGTATCAGGTTCTTCGATACAAGCTGGAATTGCGGCAGTAGGCTCTCGTTCTTTCGGAAAAACTACGACTGCGTCGCACGCAACGGGAAAAGAGGGTCGACACTTCTCGCGACACTCTTAAAAACTCGCCGCAGTCAGAACAGGCGGAGCACATTCCTCCCATAAAAAGACCTAATGCACACACTCAGTTGCATTAGGACAAGCCGAGCCATTCCTCCTAATGCAGTGGTTTGTTGTACAGTCCACTCACCGAGCTAGGGCTGCACTATTACTCAGTGCCAACGGAACGTGCGACAATGGGCCAAGTTGTGCCAACAGTGCGTGGAGGTATGGGCTTTTGGTTTGCTTGTCACGTCGCCCAGATTTCCCACAGCGCACCGCCGAGCCTAGCAGAAGGACCAACCACCACCGCCACCGCGAGGCGCCGAGGCTCCGTAGTGGTGGCTCGTTACAGTAGTACAGTGTACAGTGTCAACCGCACGGGGTGGCAGAATTTGGTTCGGTTTGTTGTTGCGGCCACAGAAGCGTCAACACTCCAGGCGCCGCGACAAGGAGCCAGCTGGAGTGGTCCGAATTTTACACAGTAAAGTACAGCAAGAAGGCGTCAAGTGCCCTTCGTTAGCATCTACTACGTGCTTGGAAACAAAAAATAGGCACCATGAGCAAGCTCTAAATTACACAAAAACGCCCTTCAAATGGAAAAGCCCTAATCGTTAAGTCATGATCAACGCTCTCTCCCATCCTCGCAATCCAAAGCATCATCATCCTCAAAATCATCTGCTGGATCTGCTTCAACCCATGCACCTTCGTCATGATCGGGGGGATTCAAGTCCAACCTACTGGTACGCTTCAAGTCAGAAGCGCCACCTCCTGCAGATGCCATGATCTTCTCTTCATATTCCTGAGCACAACAACACAAAAACAAAAACTGATAGAACTTCCACCACTTTTGCCCTCCGTATCCGCACACAAATGCATGTGCGCGGTGTTGAACACACACACCCCAATAATCACGCAGGAGCAGATATCCAGCACAAAAGCTGGCGACTCACTCGAATCCGTGTCCGTTGTTCCGCCAGCAGCTGAGCCGCCTCCAGCACTGATATCACTCGAGCACACCGCCCAGGCGCCCCAGCAGCCCCGGCAGCCTCGGAAGTCCCGGAGGCTCCCCCAGAAGCCCCCCCAGCAGCCCCAGTAGCCACATCTATCATGTCCTGAGAAGATTTGAGCTGAGCACTGTGCACAGCATCCCTGCCATCACCATTACCCACACCACCACCGCCACCATCACCATCACCAATCTTTAACACTCTCCCCAGCCGGACAGCTGCACGGTCCGCCTCCCACATCAAGTCCCTCCTGACCTTCTCCCGGGCTGCCCGAACTCCTTCCGGCGAAATCTTTTCATCTGCCCCCACACGCTCCAGCTTTCCATTGTGAAGCCGGTACATCCTTCCATCCGACCCCACACGAGGGGCGCTGGAACCAGCAGGGAGAGACACCCTCGTGCCAGCGCTCCCTGCACTCCCTTCTCTCCCTCCGCTCCCTCCGTTCCCAGCACTCACAGCACCTCCGGCAAAGCCAATACCGTTTGCGCTACCTGCACCCCCGCCTTGTTCCAGCCGACCCGCAGCTTCCAGAGCCGGGTCGTCGATGGTGGTTTCCACCGCACGGTGCAGCGACCAGAGGCGGCGCATGGCGACAGACGAGCAGGACGGCTGGAAGGACGACGTGCGCGTGCGCACCGATGCACCCAATGCAGCTAGCCCAGAGGATACCAATACACCTGATACCGATGCACCTGGACCAGAGGACGGCTTCATAGATGGTTTGAGGAGTGAGCCTGTGCTGTCCCCTTGGCTGTCCGCACCTGGGTCTCTGTACATATACATCTCCCTCTTCCGTTGTGTGATGTCCCCTTCTCCTTGCTGTGTGCCACGGCGCTCTGCACTTTCCTTGCGCTCTGCACTTTCCTTGCGCTCTGCACTTTCCTTGCGCTCTGCTCCTTCCGCCACCCTTTCTCCTGCGGGCGCGCCTTCTGCTCCGCCTGCTGCCCCGCCTGATGTAGCAGCAGCAGCACCAGCGGCGTCCATAGAAGCAGAGGTAGTGGCAGTAACTGCAGCAACAGCAACGGTTGACACCAGTCCGCTGCTATCCCCCACCCCTTCCTCCACCACCTCTGCCATTCTGCCTTCCCCTCCAGCCCTATCCACCCCTCCCACTCCGCCTTCCCCTCGCATCATCCCATCCTCTCCTGCTGCTCCGCCGTCCCCTCCCATCATCTCACCCTCCCGCCTTGCCACACGACTCGTCGTCGAATCTGCTCCATCCTCCACCATCCTCCCCATCATCGCCTCTCCCTCATCCCCTCTCATGCCGCTCACACCAGACGAAGCAGCAGTAACAGCACCAGCATCGCCTTTCACGTTCCCTCCCCCACTCTCTCTCCTCCCCGAAACCCTAAACGCGACACTCGCGCTGTCCGCTTCCTGCTCGTCCGCATCCCCCGCCGCCTGCTGCGCCGCGTGTGCCGCTAGCAGCGACTCGACCCGCTGCAGCTGCGCGTGCAGCTTGCGCACCTGCGCGGACAGCTTCGCGCCGCCATCGGGGAGTGCGAGTCGGCCCGCGGTCACCCTTGACAGCAAATACTGCGCGATCAGGGGCGCATCGGGAAGGCAGAATAACCAAAAAGTCAAAGGGTGTTGTTGGAAAATCTCAAAAACACCCTCCGCGGTTACCCGCGACAGCAGAGACTGCGCGATCGGGGGCAAATCGGGGCGGGGGAAACCAGATGGAGGACTTTCAAGATCGAAAAAGTGCGAACCTCACAAGCGACGTCCGTATGGGCAACACGCAGCATACGCGATGCGATCACAACCGTTAGAATAAGCCCGGTCATAACAACCTCCTGACTTACCTCCTGGCCTTTGAGTTTCCGCAAAAAGCGCCTCTTTTCCTCCTCGAGCATGTCGCTGCTGTCGGCCCATCCCGCTGATCGGATAATACCCGTCGTTGGTAGCGACGTCGCTGATCATACCCGTGGTTATCTTACCTTCTGTCCTTTAAGCTTACAGGCGGCGCTTTTCCTCCTCGAGCCTGTCGCTACTGTCATCCCAACCCGCTGATCGCAGAATACCCGTGGTCGGTAGCGACCTCTGGTGTGCGCTCTGCTTACCTCCTGTCCTTTGAGTTTCCGCAATAAACGCCGCTTTTCCTCCTCGAGCTTGTCGCTGCTGTCGTCCCATCCCGCAGATCGCAGAATACCCGTGGTTGGCAGCGACGTCGCAGATCGGTGCGACTGAAGCTGCGACGACGACAGGAAACTCGGCATGGCGACGAGCAGAATGTGCTGCGGGGATCTGTGATGCTACATGCGAAATGAATCCGACAGTCTGCGACGCTGTGCGATGCGACTAAAAGGGACAAGATGCGCGACGGGGACACAGCGCGGGATGTCACCAGGAAAACTAACGACGACAGTGGTGTTGGTGAGAATGAACATGCATGTCGGCGGAGTAAATAAGTGAACGCGGTCAGGCGTAAGTGACTGGGACTAAAAAAAAAAAAACTTTTCGTTAATCGTGATGATTCTATAAAACGCCTCTCATGCAACTTAACCACATGATAGCAATGCATATATATATATATTTAAATAAAGCCCAAATATATGACATGGTACTTCATTCCAGCATTCAAATCGTGTTTGCACAAGAGAAGACATAAACACTTGTGTAACGCATTACGAGAATTCGGTTTTCTGAATAGATGCACGCAGTCCGAGCACAAGGTCAAGGCCACAAGGCCAGTTCACATGCAGGAGTACACATATGTATATATATATAAGGCTAAACAAGCAAGAGCAGGTATATATATTTATATATGTAAGAGTACAAGCAAGGTCAAGAGGTGAGCAAGTGAGGCAAGACAAGTACAAGACCCAGCTGAGTGCAGAAGCGCTGATGATCACAAGGCGGAAGTGCCTTGGTGAAAACATCAGCAGTGTTGGCCTCAGAGGCCACGTACGCAAGTCGCAACTGACTACGCTGCTGTAGCTCACGAGCGACGAAGTAGCGAAGAGCAATGTGCTTTGTTCTGTGCTCCAGTCTCTGCTCTCGACACAAGGCCATCATGGCCTTGCTGTCTACGTACAGCACTGGAGGAGAACGAGGCGGCTCTCCAAGGTCGGTAAGCAGGTAGGTGAGCCAGCGAAGCTCCTGTGCAGCCATGGCCCCGGCGTAGATCTCAGCCTCACAACTGGAGCCGAGAACAGAAAACGAGCGAGTAGCCCGCCACAAAACAGAGCCAGAACCAAGGCTGAAGGTGTAACCTTGTGACGACCGCTGCGTAGCCTGGTCGTCAGCCCAAGAAGCGTCCGCGTGCCTAGTGAGGACCACTGGACTGCGCCCTCCAAGCACTAGCCCCATGCTTGACGTACTGCACAAGTAGCGCAACACCCTCTTCGCTGCAGCCATGTGCTCTGGTCTGTATCTCCCAGGAGCAACATAGCGTGCAAGAATGCTAAGAGGGTATGCAAGGTCAGGTCATGTGCAGGTCATCAGGTACTTGAGGCAGCCAACAAGCTCTAAGTACGGGCCACTCGACTCTACAGACTCATCCGAAGGCAGAGCTGAGAGCGAGTGGTGAGTAGACAGAAGAGTGGCCTGAGGCGAGGAGTAGGACGAGACGCAAGCTCACGACGCTCAGCAAGACCTCTAGTAGGACCAGTGTACGGAGAAGGAGTAGGCAGCGGGGAGGCCGGCGGTAATCGTGACTGTGACTGGACAGGCGGTGGACACTCTAAGGGAGGAGGAAAACTAAGAACCTGCTGAAGGAGCGGAAAAAAATACGGCCGAGGCCGCGCGGCGACTCCAAACACAGCACGGACAGCACCAGCACCCCCAGCGGCAGCACCAGCGCCAACAGCACCTCCAGCTGTAGTACCTCCAGCAGCACCAGCAGCAAGACCGCCGTCAGGACTAACAGTAGTAGCCTCAGCACCAACTCCCGTAGCAGCTCAAGCTCCTGTCGCACTCGCAAGCCTAGCTGCTCCAGCACTCCCAGGACGAGCACCTCCGGAACCGGCGGCACCAGCACCCTCAGCAGCCGAAGAAGCTCCAGCTCCAGCAGTACGCCTCCAGCGCCGGGCAAACCACTCGCGTAGATCCAGTGGAGAGAGTGGCTCCCGCCGAGACGAAGCACCCGGAGAACCTCCAGGCCCAGCACCGCCAGACGCCAAACTAGCAGGTCTAGCGACCGCTGGCTCCGCACCTCCAGGCTCAGCAGCACGTGACGTAGCACCCCCAAGCTCAGCACCCCTTGGCGAAGGACCCCCAGGCTCAGTACCCCCACTCTCAGCACCCCCAGGCTCAGCACCCGCAGTCGCAGCACCCCCAGGCTCAGCACCCCCAGGCTCAGCACCCCTAGGCGCAGCACCCACTCGCACAGCACCCCTAGAGTCAGCATCCCCAGGCTCAGCACCTGCACCAGTACCAGAGTCACCAGCAACCTCGACCGGCTCGACTGCGTCTACCTGGGACACACCTGAAGGGGCAGGACCATGAGGGAGGAGGGGGTCTACTGGGGGAGGACCCGGCACAAGGAAGAGCGGAGGCGGGGGGAGGGAAGCAGTGCGGTAGAGGAAGAGACGGTAGTACGGGACGGACTCTTCAAAGGTGACGTCCTGGGAGGACAGAACACGACGAGAGGAGGGGTGGTAGAACTGCCACCCTGGCGCGCCAGGGGGGAAGCCAAGGAAGACACAAGGAGCAGCACGAGGGGACAGCTTGTCCGCAGACAAGTCGCGGACAAACGCCAGAGATCCCCAGACACGGAACGCAGACGCATCGCCGACCTTCCCCGTCCACAGCAAAGCTGGGGAGGTCTCCGGCAGGGAGACCCTGGGGTGAAGGTTGATCTGATGCGCCGCGTACCGAACCGCAAACGGCCACAGAAAATGGGGGGCAGCCGCATGCATCATGGACGTACGAGCGACGTCCATGACCATGCCAATGCGGCGCTCAGCAATCCCATTTTGCTGTGGAGAGTCCGGAAGCGTAAAGGTCTGGCGGATGCCTCGCGCACGGGAGTAGGCTCGTAGAAGGCCGGAAAAGAACTCCCCGCCTCGGTCAGAGTGCAGACGCAGAACAGGAAAGTCTGAGTCGAAGATCCTCCTGAGCTGGAGACGAGCTGCGCGGATCCAGTCGATCAATACCTCAGTGACATCGCCCTTGCTGCGCAAGGGGAAGACTGTGGTGTAACGCGAGTAGTCGTCAACCACCAGCAGAAAGTAGCGCTCGTGACCCTGTCCACAGACGCCGGTCGGGCCCCACACGTCCATGTGAAGCGTCTGCAGCGAGGCCTCTGTCGGGGGAAACTGAGAGGAGTGAGGGGCAGCCCGTAGCCGCCCCTCGACACTATGGACGCTAGAAGGACCAGGCCCCGGAGGAAGGGGAGGGAGGGACCGGGGAAGACCAGAGACAAGGACACAGGAAGCCATGCCTCGGAGACGAGGCAAGGAGGGGTGACCAAGGCGGTGGTGGGACAGGAGAGTCTCGTGAGACAGGAGGCGACACGAGCAGGGGGCAGACTCAGGACCAGACTTGGACGCTGCAGCAAAGACCTTACTCGATGCAGCTACCTGACCAGATGCAGGGACAGGAGGAGACTCAAAGGTGAGGGTGTAGAGGCTCGACCCCGGCCGACGCGTAAACGTGGCCATGTGCCTGCCTGTGCGAGCGTCCGAGCAGTGGGTCACCCGCTGACTCGCAGGAGTAAACTGGTGAACTTCCGCATCCTGTAGGTTAGCACCACTCACCAAGTTCGTAGAGAACGAGGGGAGGTAAATACCAGACAAGGTGCCAGAGGGGGCAGCCGGACACGGGAGGTCAGTAGAGAAGTGAGAGAGGACAGGACCCCCAGAGGGGTGTGCCAAGGAGACTGCAACCGGCCGACAAAGCGGCATGAGTGTGGTGCGGTCTCGAAAGAAGGAGCGAGAAGCCCCTGAGTCAAGTGTGAAGGTGAGGGAGGCCGAAGCCGACGCGGTAACTGAGAGCGCAGACTCACCAGTACCTAAGGACGCAGACGCACTAGCACCTAGAGCAGCACCCTCACCAGTACCGAGAGCAGAAGTTTCGATGCCTGGGTCGAGCGGGAAACACCGGTAACAGTCACCCTCATCATAAATTGTCACAGCATACATGGCAGCAAGAATAGCATCAAAGTCAAGATCATAGATAGCTACATCTGCCCTACACAGCTCTCCCCAGCGGGGTTTCTCAGTGGCCTCCAGGAAATGGTGACGCCAAGCGTCCGTCAGGCGGCCAAAGCAGCGCTGGGTGGGGTGGGCACCCCCACACTGCTCATCCACGCGGTCGCCGGAGCGAAGGACGTAGGTGCACGGACCAAAACCCCCACCCCGCTGTCGTGCACCTTACCACTCACGGAGCTGCTGAGGGGGAGGGATGTCCCGAGAACGCTGCTACTGCTGCTGCTGGCGCTGACCACCACCGGAGCTGCTCCGCTGCGTAGCGCCACCTCGACCAGCTCCACCTCTGCCACCACCACCTTCTCCACCGCCGCCACCACCGCCGCCTCCGCTCCCAGCACTACCGCCTCCGCCGCCTCCGCCTCCACTGCAGCCATCGACACCTCCACCCCCGCCACCACTCCCACCGCCACCCCCACTCTCTCCGCCGCCTCCACCGCCACCTCCACCACCACCGCCAGCTCCACTCGCGCCCTTGCCCCCCTTGCCCTTGCCAGATCGGCGTCTCCCGCTAGGGGCAGACGCCGCACCGACCGAGTGAAGACCAAGCAGGTCGGCCGCAGCAGCAGAGGCGACAGAGGGCAAAAGGGGGGAAGGGGAACACCCCTCAAAGATGGGGGTGCGAGGGTCTCCACGAGAGGCTCCTACAGCGACTATGCTCTTCTCCGCCGCTAGGAGGGCCTTCTCTAGGAGGTCAACAGTGAGAGTGGTGGGACAGACTGAGAGGAAGTGGTCCCTGACTACACGAAGGGAGTAAGGGAGGCGGGTGACTATATAATAGAGAGTGATGTACATGGGGGGGGGGGGGGGTTATTGGCGCAGAACTCAGCAAGAAGCGCGGCGCGGTAGCGAGTGTCACTAGTGCGGAGGTGCGTAATGAGGTCAGCGACTGTGGGAAAGGTAGCAAGGTCAGAGAAGAGGTACGGTAGTATGAGGCGGCTCAGTGCAGCAGTGGCAGGGGAAGACTAGCACGCAACGACGGCGTCGTACAAGGTCTGAGCACTCTTGTACTGACTAAAGTGCGCGCGCTCAGTGGTAGGCAGGTGGCGACGCACAGCAAGACGTGC